GGTGTATTTTATTTGCTTCGTTGTGAATTTTATGCCAGTATAATGATATTACTTTGCCTTTGGAAAGGCATAAGAAGAGTGGGTGCATCTACCAACACAATTTCTGAAATTTCCACAGGGTTTCTTTTCAAGGTGAACGTTTATCCTCAGTCTAATAATTGTGGAATTGATAGATTACCAATGTTCATGTATCAGTTCCTACTACTAGATGAGTTCCATTCAATTTATTTTGTTCCGTTGAACAGCCAGTGATAGGCCGGCTCAGCGCAGTAATTAATTGAGGTAAAGCGGCAGGCAGGCCTCAGGCGATGCTTCAGTACTTCCCACAGTATCACCGCTTCAGCTAAAGTCCGCCATCCTGCACCTTCTGCTACTTCTGAGCTAAACTGCAGCAGAGAAACCCGTAAGATGCATTGTTCGAGAGAGATCTCTACCATTATACAAATCACAGTTACCGGGGTCATTGAGTTGGAAAAGCTTTTCTCGGCTCCCCGGGTATGAAAGATGGCTCCGTTTCTCACTTCGCCACCAGAGAGACTCAGTTGATTCAGAGCTCTGGAGCCTGGCAGCTAAGAATCGTTGGGCCACTGCGTCTACTAATTCAATCGCATTCCAATACCATTCAGGATAAAAGTTCCCTCTCTTGTTCGAGCGAGAAATCCGGACACACCGTGCGGATTACTGGCTACATGTGGGGCCCAGGACCTTATCAGCATCACGACGTTCATTAAGCGTGCACTTTGAATCATTTTGGCGCATAGGGTAAATAAGCCTAGTCGAGGAAGATATCATGACTCTGGATAGGCGCTACACGGCGTCTTTCAGGGAAGGGCGCTTTCTGAGTCTCTTGGCAAAGCTCCGGTACGGCACTCTCTCCGAGGCCGGCATGCACACAGGTTGCGAGTCGCGTGCGAACATCAGCTGGCACAAGCGCGTTGTGAGCGTATGGCGAACTTCAGACTCAGATTGAAGTCAAAAACATACCTGACAAACGACTCGATTGAGTCCGTTTTCTCGGGGTTAGTGACAGTGAGCTGAGCATACGACAACACTCGAATATGTCGAATCAACACTTGCGTCTGGTGGCAATCTGAACTGGGAATTGAGCGCGTGTGAGTGCAGCCTGGTCTAAGTGGCGCTCATGAATGGCGTTCCCTGTGACAAAAACAATACCAGAGTGTTTCGAGTCGGAGATCTATAGATCCCTGGTTCAACCAGTCGCGGTACACGTTGCCGAATGCTGGCCTACTATCAAAGAAGTTCAAGCCCACCTTGGAGATGAAAATGTGGCACTGGACGGCCGGAGTCACGCGCATGGATCATGTAGGGTAATGCCGTTTGGACTCCAGCAATTTCGGCATCGAGCTCATTTTTAAATTGCCCAAGTCACCAAACCCGCTGAAAACATGTACACAGGGGTTATCTACCATCGTGATTACAATTATGACACTCATTCCTGTCGCTGGTGCCATGGGGTAACACTACGATTACCTCTTGGGCTCAGCCTTAGCGGAGCGCAGATAATCGTAGTGTCATCCATTAGCGCCAGCGGCAAAAGTGAATGTCAAATTCATAATCAGGATGTTAAACTACCCCTGAATACAAGTTTTTAGCGGATTTGGTGACTTAGGCAATTTGAAAATGAGCTCGGTACCGAAACTGCTGGAGTCCAAACGGCATTAGCCGACCATGTAGAACAATGATGACACACGCAAGAGTTTCGTTATGGCATCCGTAGTCTAAAAAGGTCGAAAAAAATCGCCTCTGATGGTATGGTCATGTACTGCGTGCAGAGGCACCCTCCCGTGCGTAGAACTGGTCTTGAGCTTGAGGTGCCCGGAAAGCGGCTTAAAGGGCGCTCTAAGCAGCCGCTGACTAAACAGGCTGCATGCGTTCTTGAAGATTATCATCCATCCCAACCAGGAGAAGTGGCGTCGTAAAATAAGAAGCGGACCTAACCACAAAGCGGTACAAATGCTAAAGAAGAAGAAAGAACATTCGAGTGACAACGGTACCGAAATAGAAATACCGTTGTTCGCAGGTTAGCTTCCTGCTCTGTTAGCTTTTCTTTTTTTTAGGACTTCGGAGTCAGTCCGACAGACGCTTATCTTAAAATCCTACTCTCTCTCGTTCCTCGTACGTAAAATTACGCTTCCTTTCCAAGCTTCAAAACACACATGGTAAGTCACCAAGTCGGGTGGAATGACAGCGTAAGAGCGACCTCCAAGAAAAATGCCCCGGTAAGGTCTCTTAAAAACCTACCTATCATCTTCCAAGCCTTACAAGGAAGGTCTTCAAGGTCATGGCGCGCTTTTTGGAAATGGTTTGTTTCCTGTTGTAGAGGGGCATATAATGGCCACAAAAGGGTTTCATTTTTGCTATGCGTTTATGGGAATGACAAAAAATGAGTGAAAACAATTTGAAAAGAAAGGGCCACTTAAACCGTCTTATTGGGACCTGTTGTAGCTGCAACTTTGAGAGTGCATAGCTAATGAGGTGTTCCTTTACTATGTATCGTAAAGCCATAAAGAAACTGCATGGAGAAAAGTAGTAAAGAAGTTACTTCAACGATTTTCGCGACCACTGCTTCGTGGTCTAGGGTGGCGAAGTGGATAGTGCAGTGGGCTCTCGAGAAGGAGGTTTGTGGATCGGATCCTCCTGACTACGAACCCTTTGTATTTTTTGGATTTCTGTCTTCTTGTGTTCCTGCGTGCGTGATGATGTATATAACATGGATATATTCCATTTAACACCTCATTCTGTACACTCATAGCTTACGAGTCGACCCTACTTAACTACTGCGCTCTCGAAATATTACTGAGGAAATTCTTGCTGAAAGTTGGGCTACGGGGATGAATGTGTGCCCTACTCACGAGTACGACACTCATTTTTGACCACACCACGGCGCAACATATCGCCGATTTGCTGCAAGAGCATTCTTGCACTGAAATCGTTGTCAACCCGCACGCAGACTGTTAAGCGCCATGCTGGCGTCAAATGGCCTCAGCGCATAAAATAAGTGTCAGAATCGTGAGCGGGGCTACCAACTACTATTGTATACAAACTTCCAGCGGAAAATTTTTTTGGAGGTTTTGGTGATATTGGACCGACCACTTGGTTGTCAGCAACACCCGATCAGCGCACACAGCGTAACTGGTTCCACTTTAACTTTCCAGATGTTGATATTATGCAATACATATATATATGTCTCTTTTTAATACTTGTAGTTGTTGGTTGTGAGGGTATATACTAGTAAATAGAGAGGTCCAAAATACCGAAGTTGGATAACTACTTGTACAGGATAATGATAACCACCAGTTCAACAAGACTAACCATCATAGCTCGAATAGCTCGAAGAAAAAAATTTCGCTGAAAGTCTGTATGGCTCTGTATACCCCCCCCCAACCCTGCCTGCGAGTTGGGATGCTGCGAGAATCACTTAAGAAACAACAATGCTACCTCACTGTGTGTCAAATAAAGTACTTTTTTCACCTTGATTTGTATTGTTTTCAATGCAGTCTCGACGAAAGTCTCATTTACAATGCATAATCTACATTGGAAATAGAAGAGAGCCTAGAAAAATGGTTCAAAATAGCTTTTCCTCAACAAATTTTCACCCATTTTTTGACCTTCCCAGAAATGCATGGCAAAAACGAAACCCATTTTTGTGATCACCATATGGACCCCTACAACATGCAAAAAACCATTTCTGAAAATCGCGCCGTGACCTGAAAGACCTCCCCTGTTAGCCCTATTGCAGCTCCACAGCCCACTTGTTCACAGAAGAGCTCAGTGAACATAGGAGGACGGCACGTTAACTGGATGATAGGACACATGAAGGGAATCACCACAAATTTAATACTGACTTCAAAATTGATATTCCTTTTCTGTTTATCATTTGTTATATGATGTCAGCGTGTAAATCGCTGGCACCGCCCTCGGGCATCATCATCGCTAATGCTCTCACCGTCTGCACTTCGGAGCCTACCTAGCAAACTCATAATATTTGAGAACTTTGAGTGAGATCATATGTTTTTCATACTATCCTTCTCCATATCTAGCGATGCTTCACCGCGTGGTGTAGCGCTCGACATGCAACAGCTGTTTAACTTGTATGGTCAATAAATATACTGATCGAAATTATTATTGTTCTAGAGTTTCCACTGCGAAAAGCGAAATCATTTTTTTACCTCATATGTGTCCGTTGTACTCATCGCCACTACTCACTGCATTTCCTCCTATTTTATCAGCTGTCTAATGGAGCATAAAAAAGACTATCAAGTGACTTTAACATATTTCAGTCTCCACAGCAACGGCTCGCTTGCGCCTCGCCATCATTAGCGTCCGTTATGAGTGTACTACCATGTTTAAACAATGAGTAAGTTCTTTTTTACTCACTACTTTTTCAATATTGTGCTCTCTGTGAGACTGTCACAGTCGTTCTTTAAGAATTAGGCACAAAAAAATTGAAGCTGGAGCAAACACAATATACTTTAGGGGAAAAGCCATTCAAAGTCGAAAGGTGATTGGAGGTAACTCAAGCTGCGTAGAACAACTGCAATCCACGGGCAAGATCTAAAGGGGCACCTTCATGCGCTCACTTGTTTCTAGTGTCAGCAGAACGAAGTTCGAGGGTATTAAGCTGAATTGGATCAGAACTGATCTGAGCGTTGGTCCGTTTGAGACACCGCCTGCCAGTGCTTCGCGCTTAATGCTAACCCTGCAACTAAGTTATAAGCACGTCAGAAACCCATCATGTCACCCTAGGGTCGTCTTCAAACAGCTACAAAGAGCTCCAAACTTAGTTCGAGAGATCACTGTCTTCTTTAGCTCTGGATCGACAAGCAGGTAGAAAACCAATCTGACCACACTGAGTAGCAGCTAGTGTCCACAAGACACTATAATCAGGAATTTCGTAAAATCCAAACTGGAAATTCCAAGCGGGGACAGGGTGTGTAGGATCTAGCGAGGGAAACTAGTTTGTCTATCATTCTGTAGAAATGCAAGCCATAGACGAGGGCTCACACTTCACAGCTTGTGTGAGAAATAGATTGACAATTTCTCGCGAAAAGGTTTTGTCTGCAAAAATTAGTGTAATGGAACAGTGAGCGATACCTCCATAAACTACACTGAGTACATATGAGATTTAGCAGTGCGCTTTGTGCTTCTCCTTTTCCACGCCGGAATCGTGCGCCCTTCTACACAATCGACACATCTCGTAGTAACACCAACAGAGCTGTAGTCTCTCTGTGTTCGGCTTTAGTGGGCATTCTCGAGGTGAGCACTAGTTATATGGTTCACGGCCCGCTGAGAATCGAATCGAAGTCCGTCTGCGTCTGCACTTTATCCTAGTTGTACAGCAATCACTATAGGCTGGCCATGCCCGGCAACAGGACCTTGTGCGTCTTGGAAGACCTTCTTTTCGATTCTCAATGGACTATTATGAGAATTTCAATGTTGATCTGTTATCGTTTCTTGATAGTTATCCTTTCTCAATACGTTTTTTTTGGTATAGTTTTTTACAAGTTGCAAATTTGTTCTTGAATAATTCAAGTATCCGAACGGCCGTGATGATGATAAACCATGCGATATCTATTGGCATAGCGTTGTTCCGACGGATATGAGAAGCATTGTGAAATCACCTCGTTGTCGAGTGAACAAATTCCCAGGTACGTGGACATTGAGTGTGGGGCTGCCCTGATAAATTTTCGTTGACACCCCCATCATCTCAAGCAAACCACACCCAAACAAACGATTACTGCTCATGCGAAAGCATGTGTACTCGAAATCCCTGAGATCGGGTAGGCGTGGCTGCATGCTTCGACTTAAAGACAGCCCTCGCGAAAAGTGGCTCGTGGTCGCCTTTGCTGTGCAAGTAGTCTAGCCTGTAAGCTAGAAGAGTGTTCACCTTTCGCGACTCTATTGTGAGCGTGGAGGCTGCTATAGCCGCTCAAAGTCCTAGTTCTAACTCCTCCTCAGTCGGACCGCCTTTACTTGCTAGATGTCCTCCGACGGAGGCCACTCACTTGTTCTTAGTTGGGGCGGCGGGCATTGCTAATGCCCCTGAATAATTCTGCTCTCCTTCATTACAGTTTACTCATTGGAGGTATATACATTCAATTCAACCCATTTCGCGAGGTGAAACGCGTAAAAAACACGAGTGACGCAATTTTCGTGATGCAAAACCACGACGCACAAAAGGTGCACTACCGTAATCACAAATTCAGACACCGTGTTGATAAAATTCCTTTTTCCTTCCCAGAGTTTTTCCTCTGCGTTTTTGTTGTTTTCTTTTTGTATTCTTTCTTTTGCACTAGATGATATCAACTACTGCGAGATGTGATAGAGAGATTTGTGAGCTAGGGCTGCACAGAGACCGCAGGGAGGCGTAACTGTGAGGGAGCGATTTTGTTTAGTTGTTCTGGAGAACGCTTCTTGCCTGTTTTCTTCTTTGGGAGATTAGTTATCAGCTGCTGTTCCATAATTGGAAAGCAGTTATCCATGAGACTTTTATCGCGGGAGCTGTCTTTAACCTGAGGGAGTCTATGCTTCTGGTGAGATATTTCCATCATGACACAGTTGTTGCCGTGTCTGTGTCCAACACTGAACAAGATGACAGTTGTCCCAGACTGGAATATTCCATGAGTAACCAGTTCCGTGCCATGTTCAGATGCCACGCCCACTCTGGCTCAGGGATAAGGAGTGTAAGTACCCTGCCGTCTGGGGTATAGGGCGCATTTCGCAAAGTCACACGTGACAACATGCGCGAAAAATCGATAGACATAACAGGAGTTTCCATGTCTTTTTTGCGTCGTTTCGTCTTCCCACTGGTTTATGAATACCTATTGGATACAGATCATTAATGCGCATAAGAACAAACAAAAAATACGCAAAATTAATGTGAAGCACAAATAATTGCGGCGTTGCCCTATACATGGGTGCGTCTTATGCACCAGAAAACAGGGTAATTACACACACTCCTTATCCCTGAGCCAGAGTAGGCGTGGCATTTGAACATGGCATGGAACTGTTACTCGTGGAATATCCCAGACTGGGTTAACTGTCATCTTGTTCTGTGTTGGACAGAGGCACGACAACAAATGTGTCAGGAAGAAAATATCTCACCAGAAGCATGTACTAGGGTTAAGTCGAAGCATGCAGCAACGCCTACCCGATCTCAGGAATTTCGAGTATATATTAGGTTGTTCGGAAAGAAATGGGCGTTGAAGCGAGTTGAATTTGTCCATTTAATTCTCCCCTACTATAGAAGATTTTCTAAAACAGTTCTTTATTAATTGTGCATCTTTTGATATATTTTTGTCTATGTCTACTTTGTTTTTTTTTGTGGCCGGAATTTCTTCGTAGCTCCAAGAATAGCGGTTACTTCGACTCTATTGTTACATCAGATGAGACATGGATTTGCTACGACAACGCAACGCGAAAAAGACAGTGGTTAAACGCCGGTGACACTCCAAAACCGACTCCGAAACCGGATATACACGGCAAAAAGGTGATGCTCTGTGTTTGGTGGAAGAGTAAATGTTCGGTGGAACAGCAAAGGGGTGTACTTTGAAGTTCTGGATTCGGGTCAAACAGTTACGGCGGACATCTACAAAGATCAATTGAACCGCGTGGATCAAGCACTGCGTCGTCAAGGTATCGAAACGACGTCGACAAAATCCCTCCACGGGACCCGAGCGATTCTATCGTCGGCAAGCCAGGTCACGTCGCGCACATTGCGTCGCGGCGTCTCGCGCGGCGGCGCGGTGCGGCAATTCCGGAGTTGCATTACCGACATACCAATGAGTCTCGAAGACCGCGTATTCTCAAGTTCCGAAAAGCACAAAATTGGATCAGTAATTTTGAACAAATAACGTGGGACCAGTCTTACACCGTTTACTTTTGAATGCGGAAAAAACAATCATTGATCATCATAGGAAAATGGGACAAGCAGTGCAGGATTAACATAAACAATATGGCTTGATGATCATTTTAACAATTTTAACGAGCACGACGCAGCAGGACCCTAGCGGCGCCCACCAGCGCGGCGACCTACTTATCATCGACGATAGAATCGCCACACACCCAATAAGTAGGTCGCCGCGCTTTTGGGCTCCGCGTACGAGTCCTGCTGCGTCGTGCTCGTTAAAATTGTTAAAATGATCATCAAGCCATATTGTTTATGTTAATCCTGTACTGCTTGTCCCATTTTCCTGTGATGATCAATGATTGTTTTTTTCGCATTCAAAAGTAAAGGGGTGTAAGACTGGTCCCACGTTATTTGATCAAAATTACTGATCCAATTTTGGGCTTTTCGGAACTTGTGAATACGCGGTCTTCGAGACCCATTTGAATTTCGGTAATGCAACTCCGGAATTGTCGCACCGCGCCGCCGCGCGAGACGCCGCGACGCGATGTGCGCGACGTGACCTGACTTGCCGACGATAGAATCGCCCGGGTCCCGCTACCACGACAAAGCTCGCTCACATGTCGCGAAAATCACATTGAAAAAAAAATTGAGGAATTGGGCTGGGAAGTCCTGCCTCATTCGCCATACAGCCCAGACCTAGCACCATCCGATTACCATCTGTTCCGGTCGATGCAGAACCCTGGCCGAGAGAAAGTCCACAAACCGCGAAAAAGTCTAATTCTGGGTGTCCAACTACTCTGAGTCGCAGCCGGCCGAGTTTTTCGAGAGAGGGATCAATTCTCTGCATAAACGTTGGCAACAAGTCATTGATAGTAATGAAGATTATCTTTTGAATTGATCTTGTCTAATTTCGTTTTTATAATAAAAGTTTTTTAACCCCAAACGCGCATTTCTTTCCGAACAACCTAATATATGCTCTCCTCATCATTACGGGCTGTCGGGGCGGGGCAGTGCGGCTGCGTTTTCCGCGGTGCCAAAGTCTTTCTGCGCCAGTTGTTGAAACGGGAAAGTGGACCCTTCGTATTACTCGTTTTCTACCACTTTTGTCGCATACTCGTTTCAAAGAAAAGGCTGAGAACGGCTTTAAACAGTGTGCGCACTCCTACTGGCTGATACGCCCCGACACTCCGTAATGATGAGGAGAGTACCATTTTCACTTTGAATTCACCCTTTTTCAAACCAAATTCACCCTTTTTCAAACTAAACTCACCCTTTTTCAAACCAAATTCACCCTCATTTCTCACATCAAATTAACCACGCTTATTAGGGCGGACAACTCATAAAGCAGATCACGCCAGACACCACTGCGATCCTCGCCACGATGGCCACGCCCACTTGTCAGCGCGGACATGGATTCTCAAATCTTGTTTTATAACTTCTGCTTTTGCTGTTTCCCTCAAACACTTTGACTGGAAACGACCGGGCACTGACACATGGCCGACATCGCCCATACATAGGGTTTGGCAATCTAAGCTGACCACGCCCACTTGCTTTCCACGGACTTTCGATATTTTTTTCGAAATTTTTGCGTTTTAGGGCTGCTGCGTGAAGCTCCGCTCACTGTTAGAAGCTCCACCCACTTTAAAGAAGCCCCGCCCACTTTTCAAAAATGGTGCAAATCGGCAGAATAGAGCCTTGGCTTGCATGCTAGGGTCTCGTTCGTCACTCGGAACAAGAAAATTCGGCAAAGTTCATTCCGACTGTTCAGCAATACCTTACCATGCAAGCCAAGCCTCTATACTGCCGATCTGAACCATTTTGAAGAACAGGAGGAGCTTCTACAGAGTGGGCGGGGCCTCTAACAGTGGGCGGAGCTTCACGCAGCAGCCCTAAAATGCAAAAATTTTGAAAAATATCGAAAATCCGCGAAAAGCAAGTGGGCGTGGTCAGCTTAGATTGCCAAACCCTTTAGAGTATGGGTGAAGTCGGCCATGTGTCAATGCACGGTCGTTTCCAGTCAAAGTGATTGTGGGAAACAGCAAAAGCAGAAGTTATGAAACAAGATTTGAGAATCTATGTCCGCACTGACTAGTGGGCTTGGCCGTCGGGGCGGTGCTCGCAGTGATGTCTGGCGTGATCTGCTTTATGAATTGCCCGCCCTAATAAGCGTGGTTAATTTGGTGTGAAAAGCTGAGGGTGAATTTGGTTTGAAAAGGGGTGAATCTGGTTTGAAAAAGGGTGAATTTAAAGTGAAAATGGTATATATGGTGAGTGTGATAGGAGTGATAAGAGAATTGCAGGGATGACGGACCTCTCAAAGAAAGTCTCACTAACGCATGCCATTGATTCAATGCGGAGAATCTTCCCAGACGACTATAACTTCTATCCGCCGTCGTACTTCCTTCCTGCTCACTTCGATCAGTTCAAAGTGAGTGGTCTTACCGTCGTTATATCACTGGGCGACTGGCTATGGACATATTGGACATGTCGGTCAGGGTCGACCATCCGTCAGGGAGTCTCGAGCGGAGGTCGTATATATTAGGTCATCCCATTCAAAAGTGCCGTAGGTTTTATTCGAATAAAACAAAGAGGAGAATAGATAAAAAAGTACCAATGAGCAGCTCCCAGTGCCCCGAAAGCCTTTGGACCTCTGGTACCTTTTTCATTTTTCAACAAGTGCGAGTAAATCGCTGCTGATGCCAATTTCGGCAAATGACAAAATATTGTAGGGTTTGCCGTCGGAGAATACTCTCGACTGACAAGAACGATTGGAATCGCTCGGCTTTATGTGGGGCGAATGAGGCGATCCGAACCCAGGTCTCAGACTGCTCTACATTACAGTTTCTCGTGGTCTGGCACTATGACGAGCGACGGTGGCCTTCTTGTAGTTATGTGGTAATGTGGGTCCATTTGTCGATCTGATTGCCGATAAGAGGCAATATACACCAACAGCGTACGATTTTCTTCTCTGTATAAAGTACGGCTGGAAGCCACACTTTGGGAATCCTTCGCTATGATGGTCATCCACTCGGGCCCACGTAACTCCTTATGGTAGAATTCGGGCTGCTTCTCATCTGCATTCATACAAAATTGACGATTGTGAGTTTTGGCTCGAGGTCCAAGACCACCCATATTTCATCTATGGCCGGGGTGCGTTTTCACGGTCGTCTATAACATCTCATGCTGAGAACATTACTGCTAGAGGCATAGGATCGGTACTGCGTTCGTGCTTCTACAAGAAAATTAGGTACCCGTGCGCACATCCTCTTGACCGTCCTCAGTTTATAGGACATAAATCGGGCAGCAGTTGCTGCTGGGATGGCAGACTCGCGGGGAAACTTGACAAGGGTCCAGGCTCTAGGGCAGACATTCAGCGCTTGACTTCATCCACCCTTTTTTCTTGTGCAATATGAACATTATGGGACCATCCACGACAACAAATTTTTTCCTTTCTTTCTTCTTCGGACTCCTGAGCCAAACTTTTTACCTCGTATATCGAGATATATCGAGAACACCATTCCGGTCGAATTTGAGCAGCGCACTTCCCTCTTATGACGTCTGATTTGGAAATCCGGCGCTGATTTTCACCACTCGGGCTTCTTTTCGATTTGTCGAGAACTTCCTGTGGGTAGGTTCGCCAAATTTCACAGATACACAGCTAGAGGTACTAGCCTCCAAATGGTATAGTAGCCCGCTTCCCTATACCCTTTGCTTTTCTGCCATTTCTCTATATGTCACGGCACTTTTGAATGGAATGACCTAATAGCTCGTTGGTCAGCAAAGCTGTAACAATGTGAGTGCGAGGTGTGGGTCAAAAGCGAGGCAAATGAAGTGGCATTATGAATGGCCGAATTTGGTGAGGGCCTTGTTATATCATATAAACACTTTCCAAGTGGAGCTGTAATTGGTTTTTATTGGAACTGCAATAGCGAATCTTAAGGACTTTAACAATTTCTAATTTTTTTCAATTTTAATGAAAGCGTATTTCTCCTGAAGAACGACAACTCGCACACAGGCGATAGTTCCCTCAATACCAAGAAAAAATTTTCGACGGCAGATTTTTGCAGATTTTTCTTAAATAATGAACTCTCATATAAGCTTTTGAAGTTATTAGAAGGAGAAACCCTTGTGCCTCTCAGCACCCGCTTTTTGCTACAGGTTTTTATAGTACCTTAAATGTTGGAAACTTGTGTGCTCAAAAAAATTTTATCGCAAACTCAACAGGAAGTTCTAAACGACGCATTCTTTCAGATGACGGGACTATCACAAAAAGAGTTCGTGGCGATTAGTAGCAGGAAGTCTTGCCTTCAAATTTTTCGATTTTGTTTTGCCCCTAATACTGTGTTGCAGAAGCCATGGTCTCCGAAAATCAGAAACTCGCGTGCTCAAGAAATTTAAGTCACTTATTTTAATGCTAGGCTGTGAGACTTTCTTTGCGATTAGTTTAATCTTTCGTGCCTTGTCGCTTTGCAAAATGTTGTTTCCGAACAAAAGTGCAGTCCTTCGAGAAAGCTTGGAGGTCATAACGAGTGAAACACCGCTCGAATGGCAACACGCAACGGAGCTGAAACAAAACCAATCACACTATGTCCTCCTTGTGTTCGAATAGTAATTTCATTCGCTTTTTATTCAGTAACTATGGGGTCATTTTAAGGGGAGGGTCTCACCAGGGGAGCAGTCTTTCTCAACATGATGACGACCCTCAAACGCCACTGCATTCATGGTAGACGATTCTATCCAGGGCCAACGACTCTCTTCTCGTCGCTTAGACCGACTATCTCTCTCTGAGCCGTGTCTGTCCAAACAACTGGCTAGAGAATGCTCCGCTAAGACGCACGATGCCGGGCGGGAAACTAGAGTTTCAGATGGCCGTGTGCGACTATCCAAGCGGCAAATGTTGCGACGATCTCACATTTCTTTCACCATTCACAAATTCCGTCATTAGAGCAGGGGATTTCCTACAGTCCACAGCACCACACAATGTATCGGCGAACCACCACTAATTATTTTCGTCATGGAGGTGAGTAGATCAATACACTGATTCACTGCGAGATAAAGCAATGTCAATCTCTCTTACCTCTCTTACAAGGGTAGGATACCAACTCGTCATGGCCATTCAGAATGTGTTTTATACCACTAGTCTTTGGACGCTCTTCAGACGCTGATATCAGATCTGCCAAATCTGCTAAGCGATTCTGGGTGAGAAGTTACGGACCTTTTTCGCTACCGTGCTTAACAATTGCAGTGGGCCTCCTGCCCATGCTTTGTGCTTGTGAACCACTCGTGACACGGCCGTCGGCGTGGCTCGATGGCGCAGCAGGTGAGTGGATGGACTAATAGTTGTGGGACGGGGTTCGGATCCTTGATGCATTTCCTCGTTTTGCTTTTTCTTCAAACGTATGCTAAACACTTGAGGAGTAGTTTAGCGTACCTGTCCGACCACCAAGACCCCTCCCTGCTCTTATTGAGCCTCACAAACGATTTTCGGGAGGAAATTACACTTTTACCAACTCGTTCAAGCAAGGAATCAAATACACATGCATACCTGCCTGAAGCACGTGAACTGCAACATTTCACCGTCTCGTAAGATGACAACGTGTGTGACCAACGAAAGATTTCGAAATCTCTAGTAACTCTATTCACCCACGCTCACAACGTCAGCCAACAGCTCCACGACCGTGCCTACCATAACTGGAGAAATGTTCGACCAGGGGACACATTGGTTGGGGATTTTAGCTGGTCTGTACGACCCCACCCCCCTTTTTTGGGCTGTCAAGCGGGGGGGGGGTATATATTACGCATGTAACAGGAAAATCACAAAAAGTCAACCACCGCTCCTACAACGCCAAAACGTAAACACGACCTCCCCTCCCAACAATGACCGAGTACGACCCCCCCCCGTCGCAACGTCCATGACGCGAGAAAAATCAACTATTAAAATAAATTTTTCCCAGCCCAAATACGACCCCCCTCTACTGACGGCCAAATACGACCCACCCCTATTGGGGATTGCCCAACAACGATGTGCCCTGGTTCGACGACTCTGGTGCTACCAGACCTAGTGGAAGAGTCTGAAGCTTGCGATACTGTTCGATAATAATCCCGCAAAGAGAGAAAGATTGCAGATAGCTCCTCTGCTATTTTGCGCGACGCACTGCACTACAATCTTATAATCAAAGATAGCTTCGTAGAGGACGACCATACGGATCCCCTCTGGTCACCTGATGATGGTGATGAAGAAAGTTCCCTCAGAGCTAGAAGAACAGCTTAAGTCACTTGGGGGTGTGGAGGTTCCGATAGAGACAGTGGTTTGATAGTCTCATTGTCTCATTTATGGAGTTCACTTCTGTAGTTCTGTACAACTCCATAGCATAGTACGTGTGTGGTTTAGATGCGTAAAGCCATAGCCTTCTACCGTTCTAGTGCAAAGAAAAGCCGCTCATTTCCATGCATGAAAAGCAGGTTCCGCTTCATTCTACCGAAAACCACTTGCGGAAGTTGAGTTGAGTTACTATTAAAATGAATGCTTTCACTGAAGTCAAAATAAAACCCCTCTCAAAATTCACACATAGGGCCTAATAAGAAGCAGGGAGGAGTCTTGGTGGACGGACAGGTACGTCAAACTACTTCTCAAGTGTTTAGCATACGTTTGAAGAAAAAGCAAAACGAGGAAATGCATCAAGGATCCGAACCCCCCGTCCCACAACTATTAGTCCATCCACTTACCTGCTGCGCAATCGAGCCACGCCGACGGCCGTGTCACGAGTGGTTCACAAGCGCAAAGCATGGGCAGGGGGGCCCACCGCAATGGTTAAGCACGGTAGCAAAAAAGGTCCGTAACTCCTCACCCAGAATCGTTTAGCAGATTTAGAAGTCAGATCTGACATCAGCGTCCGAAGACGCTTCTAGTGGTATACATCTCATTCTGAATGGCCATGACGAGTTGGTATCATTCCCTTGTTAGATGGTCTGCTAGCGTTACGAACGAGCCAAGCGCCGCACCGCTACGCACCCCACGCACAACGTATTAGGTTGTTGCATAAGTTCTTATACACGTGTCTGATCCTCTCCCATTTCGTTCGCATGGATGCTGGTATTACGGCATCACGTGTGGGTGACTTGTACATTATACTCTTTCATTACACTAGCTATCACTCACCGAGCTTGCATTTGCAGTACACAATGTCGCACAATTTGCACTGTGACAAAACGTACCTGCGCCACTGTTTGGTTCTGCTCCACGATTTCGGCTGGAATGCAAAGGAAGCCCATACCAAGCTGGTGGATACATATGGTGAGGATGTCATCTCTTACATGACATGCAAGAATTGGTTCGCCAAATTCAAGAAAGGAGACTTTTCTCTCGAAGATGCTCCGAGGTCGGGTGGCCGATGGAGTTGGATTTGGAAGTACTACGTTCCACCGTGGTGGATGACCCGTACCTCACCACCAGAGAAATGGCGACCATGCTTAGCTATGATCATTCGACGGTTGCACGTGGACTAGAAAAGCTCGGCAAGGTAGCAAAGCTTGGTCGATGGGTCCCACATGAACTGTCCGCTTATGACCTCTCGAGGAGGGTGACCACTTGCACTTCTCTCCTCACTTTCCAAAACAGGCTTCACTTTCTCAACTCGATGATCACTGGAGATGAGAAGTGGGTCCTCACGATAACCCTGTGAGGAAGCGGCAGTGGGTCGACTAAGGAGAACAGTCAGAAGCCACAACAAAGGCCGACCTTTACCCCAAAAAGGTTCTGCTGTCCTGTTGATGGTCCAGAAGAGTTACCCCAAAAAGGTTCTGCTGTCCTGTTGATGGTCCAGAAGAGACATAGAGTACTGGGAGCTGCTGGAGAAGGGACAGTCGATTGCCTCTTCCACATACGTGACCCAGCTGCGGAAACTAAAGACCACGTCGACCGTACTCGTGGAAGGAATGCGGAAATCTACTTCCACCATGACAACGCCCGACCTCACACTACAAAGGCGACCCATGCCGAGCTGGTGAAGTACGGATGGCTGATGGTCGCCCACCCTTCCTACAGCCCTGACCTCGCTCCTTCTGATTACTGGCTGTTCAGCCACCCGCAGCGCTATCTGGACGGAAAAAAGTTCGAAACAAAGGATCAGGTCAGAAAGGCGCTCGACAACTTCTTCAAGTCCCAGCCTCCGTCGTTCTGGAAGGATGGAATCGACAAGCTGCCTGAGCGCTGGCGTCGAGTAGTGAATGGTGACGGTGCATACCTCTAATCTCCAGGCTGGTTCTTTTTTGAGATATTTACAAAAAAGTCGTGTATAAGAACTTGTGCAACAACCTAATACACGCTGGCTGTCAAAAGTACTCACTGTCACGGTTTTCCGTTACTTCAACCACTTTGCTTCCATTGCATTTTCACTTAGCCAGCCCGCTTCGTATACTTCTATGTTTTACCTTTTAGTGTTGCAAACGACATGCAAAACATGTGTTTGAGCACAGTGCGAGCTATGCTATTTGCAACCGCGTTTCGAGTGTTTGCAAAGTTATCGCAATGATCAAATCTTTTGTGTTCGGAGGTACAAAGTACAACTGTTTTATGGCAGTGAGAACAGGGCTGAAATCCCGAAAACTATTCGTTAGCTGAATATGAACGGTGGCACCTATCCAAGTACTGAGCTGACGCATAAGCAATAGAGATTTTTTCCTGACTTGAAGTTTTGCTTATTCCTTTTCGTTTAACCTGTCGGCTCGCCCCCGTGCCCCCTTCTGCGGTGCGGCCCGGCTTCGCCGGGCCGGCGGGCTTCGCGCGCGTTGCTTCTTTCACATATTTGAATACATAGTTTATATCCTGCTTTTCCTTCATTTGTGCACGTGGCCAACGTTTCTTGACATAAATAAAATCATTCACGCTGTTTTCAACTCTGTTATCGTCTATGAAATGGTGAAGGAGCGTCGATCAAGTGACCGGATGTGAGAAAAGCCGGGTTGTCACGGAAGGGGTGACGGTGAACGGCAAAATCGCGCTTCTGCATCCGCCCTTTATGAGCGGCGGTCGCGGCGCGGTTTCAACACTAAGGCATCGTCGTCAACTATCGTCACCAGCAAGTACATCTTAAGTTAACTAATATGAGCTCAACATGGGAATGTCACCGCACTATACCCACAAAAGAATCGAATGTTGTATAATAATGTTGACGATGTGGTGTTTCCCACTTAATTTTTGTTGAACTGGAGGTAAAGTCCTGTAAGGAGGGAAAAGCGCCTTTGCATCATCTTCAGGCACCTCGCCCATCAACGTGGGTACTTTTCCTCTACCGTATGCCCGCTTGCTGCGCTTTAGAAATTCTGCGCTCGAAACGGCTTCTACAAGATCTGTAGAGAGCAGTTGAAAAAACAGCTTCTGTACACTTTAACAATGTTGTAGCGAATCAATTTCACACGGCTATTTTATGGGTCCTGCAGCTACAATTTTGCAGCATGTGGCATTTGTGAGTGATATATGCAGTGCGCCTCCAGCAATACGAAGCATAGGGCACCTTTGTACGCAACGTTTTTTGACAAAGACTCTGTCTGGGGAAACGGTGGCAGGAGGTGTACGCATACGGGTTAGTTCAGATAATTCCCGGTTGACTCAGTGAAGCCGTTCTGGTGAAGCATTTTGGCCGGCTTTTGAATTTGACCCCATCAAGTTGGTTGAGTATGGCGAGATTTTCGGCGTTCTTTTCTACATCCCTTACAGTGACTGACATTTGAAGAGTGATTACGCACACTGGAGATCAAAACAGGGTTCACTTTGCTCCTGAATGGGGAATTCTGTCAACTAAGTGTACATTATAATAGCCAGCACTGTGCAACATCATCTAGAGCCTTTCGAATAAGAACAGCTTTTTGCTTCCCTTGAAGTTCGTCAGGTGCGTGCCTGATTTTCGATTACGCGAAATGCAGGTACATAAGAGCGCTTTTATCTTCCAGTGGTTCTGTGCGATCGCGAGGTATGAGCGCGCGCCATACAACACCAGCCGAGGATAACGCTCAGCGAAATCAGGGAATCGTGCCCGGACGCACACTTGCAAAGGTCGGATGCTCAAGTGCGATTTCGCCGTTTATCTTAGTTTCACGGAAGGAAGCGCGCCGGCTTCAGCCGGCAAGCCGATTGGTGTTAAATGTGCCTACGGCGAGCGGTGCTTAAAAGTGTGGCTACCGATGCACTGAATAAGCAGAAAAATGGGTGCCTCGTATTCGAGAGCACGCTCCGCCCACTGCGAGCGGGTCTCAAAACACCACAGATACTTTTGCCTCCACACATTTTTCTCTTCTCCAACGATTTTTTTATCGTGAAACTTACTTAGGTCTGAAGGAAATTTCGTCACCACCCATCTCGTGGACGTCACCCCTATTTCGAGCATATCCTCGTCTGGTGACATCTTAGGCTTTGACAGTCTTCGTAGATTACCCACTAACATCAAGCTATAACGAGGATGAGCTTGAAGCATTCCATTGAGTTTATCATGTCGACTCAAACCACCCTGGGTAGCTCGCAATCAAAGGGGCCCTACACTCTACGCTGGACATGGGAGTCTCCTGATGGACACAGGCGTGTTGTGGTAAATTTTCGCTAAATACGACCTCCCCCCAAAAATAGGTTCTCGATACGCCCCTCCCCCCTCGCCGCTGCTAATCTGGGTCGCAGATAAACAACGTTATGCCAGCAAATAATCGTTTATACCTCAGATACTCTAGTATAAATACCATTTTGAATTATCTGATCTGTTCTGCAGAGGCAGTGGACCTGCAAAGCAGGGGGACATGCGCAAAATTCAGTGGTAAACTCTGTGGTCAGGTGTTAAGGTACCTTTCATGAGGGTCCTTGAGTTGCACTTTCTGCACTTCAGAACACAGTCAATGCAGTTGTGTCTACTACTGAGCTAGCTATAATTCAGCAACAAGTACAAGTAGGGACATACGACGAATCATTCCTGTGCGGCACCGACCACTGTCTTGTTGCGACTTCCGTAGTAACGCGGTTTGCTTTCGTACTTACTTGCAATCCAGAGTAGTGCAAACATAGCTTCTGCTCGTCCTTCTACGGGACCTCCTTGAACTTCTTCCGCTCCGAACTACTCTTTTGATAACGTTTCTGTCTGGCGCAGAGAACATCCACAACGCATTGTGAACAAGAATAGCAAATTGCACCTGACTGTGCTATTAGCTTTGAGAAGGTAGAGAAGCTCAGATCACCGATCAAGGGATGGAGTAGGATCCAGCGTGTCCGTTTCGCAGGTCGGTATCAGGTGGTTGTGTACTACGCTGCTGAAAACCATCCCATGTTCCAACGATCTGTCTCGACTAGAATGGGCTTCGCCTCGAATGTCTTCTCTGCTAGATCAAGCCCATTGCATACTGCTGGTGATACTTGAGAGAGCCTCTCCAATCCTATGGACACAACGGATGCTGAATCAACTTGAGCAAATTTATGCGTTTTTGAGACGGCACAATAACGGTCGCGACAACCTTCAGAATAAGCTGGTATGGTAGACTTCTCACATTCAAGTGGATTAAGTATCTTTTAATGGGGTGTGTCAAGACACGCCAGTGTTGCAATAATAGCTGATGCATCTGAGATCTCTATTCACTCTGCTTCATATCCACGTGACAGAACTCTGACAGAGAACTTATCACCCTTGAGTATAGGCAATATCTTATTCTGTTTCCTATGAATGTAATCGAAATGAAGTCTGAGTCAGAAAAGGAAAAGAAGCTATCCAGGAAATAATTCCTGTATGAAAGAAAGAAGCTGGTAAATTCATGTGCTGACAAATATCCATGATGCCCAAATGCCCAAACTCAGCACCTGAAGCTCATTGTCCTTGAGAGAAACAGGCTATATGTTCTGTGATGAAAACAGGACTTGTAAAACGGACTGTGTCAGTCATTATAGGGAGCGCGCTCCGTAGGCAGAGCAACCAAAGATTTTGTATGAATCACGTACGTACAATCCGTTCCGGTCGAGATCGTGTACTTAACACTCAAATGTCCAGCTTGTGTTGAGACACCGACATGGCTTTGTGCTCCGGACACATATAGTTAGACCGTACTATGTCCTAAGCACTCAGGCATCTAACAAGCGGATGGGCCCGCTGACTGCCACGTCTGGAGATCACCCATGAATCAGCAAAAATAGTTGTTGCTTCCTAAGGCGCAACAGTTGCTAATGAGCACCGGGGAGGCCCGACTGTAACGGGGGATTACGACAGACATCGAAATGTCTACTTCGTGGTCGAGCCCACTAATTGCACACAGTGTTGCACCACCTGTACTGGAAATCACTATGCATGGAAATCTCGGAGATATCTAGGCTAAAAATCCTTGGACGTTGACATAGACCTTATACTTCACATTCTTATGAGAGATCGCCAGCACGCATCAAGATGCCCTATCTGTGATAGGGGCCACCTGAACGCCTTTCCTGAAGGACGCTATTAATACATAATTCGCAACACGGCATCGAGATGTCCAGTCCGTGAAAGGAACCACCAAAACGTCTTCCCTGAAGGACGCTCATAAATCTGCATACTTCAAATTCTCATTAGAAATCGCCAGCAACGCGGCGTCCAGATGCCCAATCTGTGATGGGGACCACTAAAACGTCTTCCCTGAAGGACCTTATGATTCTGACAGATCTTTGTCTTAGAGATCCGCAAACATAATCTCGGGAGCTCCTGTTTCCGTAAAAGTTCAGTACAAGTTGACGTGGTGTATCTATTATTATCGACTTTAGTGTACGCTAGCATCGAGATGCCCTCACTGTTGTCCCGACAACCAAAGCGCACTCCCGGTGCGGATTACAAATCACTCCATCAGCGACTGTTGATCCATGGGTCCACTGAGCTTAAGTTTTGGCGAGTAACACAGAACAGTGAAATCATAGCACTTCTCGGAATCTGAGATAGGAACACACTGAGGAAATTGTGCTGATCAATTATTATGAATGACGTAGTAATGAACTTGTAACATCCATCTGACCTGAAATGATCAACATGCAACATGAATGTAACCTGTTGTAAAGAATGACCACGAGATATGAGCAGCTCACACTGCTATGTTCACGAAATAACCACAATTGTGCTAGAAATCAGGCTGTTGTAAAGTCTAATGATGTGGCCAGAATAAGATGACACCCGTAGAGGGCTTATAATTCATATCGACCTGCTCCTATAGCTATCAGGGGGATAGCGATCTAAACAGGAGATAGTAGAAAAGTGGTTAAAATTTAAACGGAAGCCAACATTCTGAAGGGCCCATGATCTCAAGAATTCTCTGGCTCTGATTGACACTGCTCGCATATTAACAAGAGAACTTCTATACAGATATAGAATGCTTCTTCCCTCATTCCTCCTTATCCAACAAGCTATCAATATAGCAGTACTGAGAATACCAACCGCTGAAAAACCTGGATGGCGAAATCTCATCCTGCGTAGTCACGAGGAGTGGTGACTCCGCCTCTCTTACAGCTTCAGTTAGGTGCGAAAACGTGGTGCCTAGCTGCGAAGCGACCAAACCTCATTAACGAGGTAGAGTTTGGAGTTCATCTTCCAAAGTATCTAATGGCAAAGCAACACTTTCTTGCCTCCCCTATTGTAGTCCGCAAATGACCACATTGAAAAAAATCAGTAGAAACCAACGGCAACAAACCAAAAGTGCTGCAGAACGTTTTGAGTCACCGGTAGTACGAATCGTTTCCTGCGGGCACTAGCGTATGAGCAACCGGTGGCCCACAATGTCGTGAACGTGTTATGAAGGCACTCAAAGGTTCAAGCGCTTCAAAGATTTTATTTTCGACTTCACAAACGATGATAGCGCCGGGCAGGGAGAGCCAAGGAGACACTCAGGTACGCTTATGCTTGCACGCAGTGCTATTATATCCCTGCCGAGGCCAAATCCACGCGTAGAAATGCAGAACGATGTCACGACGTACCCAGAACTGGTGAGCAGAACCCTCAACTAACTTCTGTTATCAGTATGCGAGGGCTATTGAGCGGTAGGCGACATCGGCAACAGAAGCTGGTTAAAACTGATGATTTAAACGTAAGGTCGCTGACCAGGATTTTCTGGCAAAGTTGCTGACATCATGAGACACAGGAATATCCCAGATAGTGCAATTCAACTATTACAGGCTTGTTCGCTGCGGATGGTGGGGCAGTGGGAAGGGGGGGGGGAGGGTAGTGTGTTTGACGCGGCGCTAGCCCGTTTTTTTTTGTTTTTCGGCGGGCGACAAGACTATATCGTATCGTTAGTCACAGTAGTTTCCTACCTACTATCGTCATTGACTACTTCAAAACTGGTGGAGGACAGGCTGGCGCGTCCCTAACCCGGCCACACTGACACGCATTATCAGCAGCGAACGAAAAAACTATGTCGGCGTCTTGGGACGCTACTTCTCTGAGACATCGACACATTTTTTTGGTGAAACATCGAATTTGAAGTTATCCAGTGTCTTTATCACGGATATTACATCGCTTTTTGGAGCCGGCGCTGTGACAGCATGGCGCCACCGCCCACTTCGCACAACGTCTTCTCCCAATCCGATCACGAAAATAGAATTGGTTCCTTGGCGCCTGCACCTGTAACGCACTGCTAAAGTTAAAGAAAAAGGAAAGATTCTTCCCTGCCCTTGAGCTCAGCTTTAGCACAGCGCTCACGACCAGGGTGCCTTGCGCTGGAAATAAATGTCATATTATTGATATACGAGTAATCGGGACGAGCTTAGGTTTGTCCGTACTTTAGTGAGAAAGATGTGGCATCAAGTTCGCCCTGCCACTTCTCGATAAGGGGCACTAGGCCGGCAATGAATGCCTTTCGATGATCAGGACATCAAATAACTCTGGAAAACAAGTTCTTATCAAAATCGGTGAACAAAGCGGTGGTGGCAAACTGGTGGCGACACCAAAAATAGGTGTCATGTTCGTGGTCAGGGCACCGAAATATCCCAGCGAAGTTTCTGTGAAAAAGTTTTTTTTCTGATTTTTTGGTGTAGTAATAGTCAAATAGTTCTTACAAGTCCTACGATTCCAGAGAACGAGATGGAACGGAGCCAAGGCCTGCAAGATGGGAGGAGGGTTTAACGCTTTTACAATAGAGAACACACCGAACTGTACGGCGTGGTCACAGCGGTACCGAAATCACTCAAAGACTGGGTCTCTGTTGTGGACAAAATCCGTGATCGGAAGGTGTGAGAATAGGCACGTATGATGGGTACCAGACCACCGACTGAGTTCGAGTGCTCCGCACTCGAGAATTACGAGTTCTAGTGACTGGGCTAAACCATAAAATCAATTTCGGAGGATGCTTGTCTCACCACAGCTGGAGATCTGGATGGCCACGCAGGTATTGACAGAAGAGCTCTAGCAAAAAGCAAACCCTTCGGTCTATATCGACATACTTTCAAACACATAAACATGGCTCTTATCAGCCAAGCTTCCTAATTACTCAACCACCTATACAATCTCCTTTTAGAAACCTCGTCTGACCGTCCATCAAATTTCCGCTCGGTCAACACTTCAGTTCTCTCGAGTGCAAGGACTTTCCTCAAACCGTTTTGTTTGATTCCATGGTAGACATGTCTGGATGCACCTCTCTAGGTTCTCCTTACCATTTCTCAAATCTGAGGTTGCGATACTCATTGATGATCGATTAACAGCTAGACACGCAGCTTAATCACACCGCTTTAATTGTTAGTGGTCACATAACAGGGTATGGGTAGGCACGGCAGTAAACCATCGCGGACTAGTAGCTGTGGAATGCATCATGCACTCGTCCATTATGTATCCCTGGACCTCGTAGTGAGGATCTGAGATGCCGGGGCAACACCAGCCCAAATATAACTGTTAAGTGCTAATTGACCGACATAAGATTTCAGTTGCGTGTTTAATGGAGGCCACTTTCCTTGGTTTATTTACTTACTTCAAGATACTATGGTTTTGAAAGGATTGAATTTACTGTCGTCACGCGGGTTCTCCATATGGAACGATAGGCCTAGAACATCATCTTTCTCCAGTGAACACTCCGATGCGTTTCTAGCCGATCATAAGCTTTCTAGCTGCTCAAGGACTGTTTTGGCTTAGCAGAAAAATCCTAAATGTAGTTGAACCATTCCATGTTATGTGGCCACTCAAAGTAAAGATGATGGCATGTCGCAACGTAACATATCATTCATATCAAGCCCATGAATTTACAGAAAAATTCCTTCCTGGTCAAAAAAATGGAGCCGCTATACACAATGCCATTCCAAGCATTTTAATTGTGCATTGCCACCATTTTAGTCCAGTCTTTTTTCGTAAGTCTTTCTTCGTATCGTGTCCTCTCCCCAATTCACTGCCCCTTTCCCCTCCTTTTATGCGGATTTTGATGCTGTTTGGTGCAGTTGCTCTTCTTTCTTCCTAAAGATGGGTAGTTCTATGACCTCTAATCTGTTTGAGTCGTCTCGCAGTTAAGCACGACGTTCCCGTTGAGGTCTTTGCGGTCGTTGCGCATCTTATTAGAGCTGCGTTGCACTCAAAGTGCGAGGCATCTTCGACGGGGAGCTGAGGAAAACGATTCGTACCCAAGTACTGATCCCTTACTGAAATGAAGGCCGGCAGTAGATGTCTTGCAGAAGAGCCCGGCGACATCTGACAAAATAAGTAGCTACTGCGGCGGTGCGACATTGAGCGTGGAGGAATGGTTTCTGACATCATTTCTTTTCTCTTTGAGTTCTTTCAAATTCACTTTGCCCCTCCTTTGCTTCTCTCCTCATGCAGATTAGTGCATGCAGCGCAGACTATATCGTAACGGCACATACGGTGCCTCTCTGAAGAACCTCACCGAAGGGAGCGCTACCTAAGAATATGCACTGTATTGGAATCAGTGGCTAATAAGGGCAACGGACTTTAGGACGGCGCAGAAGTAACGATAGGAGAAGAAGAAGGCAGGCATAGCACCGCATGTCTCCTCAGGGTACAGTTTCTTTAAGAAGAAAATCCCATCAGGGGACGAACTTGACTGATGGAAAGGGGGGGTCGTAAGCGGAGAAGTCACCAGCATAGATCAGCGCAATGGTGTCAACGTCTAAGTTTTGAAAAACGGAACCAGCGCTGTAGAGGACCTTGATGTGTGGAAGACTACAAAATATTTGAACGATAACTCGCAATATTAATAGTCAGTATTAGCTCGTAAGTACGTAATTGACAGAGCAATAGAGCAGAAACCTCATGGGCGAGCTGTCGATCTCTCTGAATGTTATGAAAACATGTGCTTCCAACGACAAAAGTTGCTTGCCGCTCTAAGGTAGACATTTCCACCACCTCTGCGTGGGAACATAATACATGGCGTGCACTCAAACGAGACATGCGAGGATAATCAAATCTAATTCATCGCTCAACTCAACGGGACTATACAGGGGGGGGGGCAAAAAAAGTCATTCCGGCCGAGTCACATATGAGCGAAGTTTTCGCAGCCCAGACAGAGGAAGTGGATATGAGTACAGGGCGGAAGATACCCAAGATCTTCCTCTGTAAGCAGGAGTCGGCTGCCGCCATTCACCTTCATGTACACCAAAATATGAACTCATCTCCAGCTGCGACCTGAATGGAGAACGTCTTTGGAATTCACGTGGCCTCCAAACAGCTGGGGAACTTCTTGAATGGAATCACCCATGGATAGCTACCTGGAGACCAGTACTCTTGATCTGCAAGACCTCAAACATCGAGCAGCTCCGGCAACGGTCCAGGACATCACTTCACCCCATTCACCAAGGCGCGGGTTGATGGTGTGGACCGGCCGTACCTGGAATGGATGAACCGATATTCTCTTCGTGGGCCCCAGACTGAGGGTGTGCGCTGGTGGCTACATCGAGCAACTCGAGGAGAATATCCCATCTTCATGACGTCGCCCGTACCTTCTTGGAAACTTTGTACTGCTACAGGACTGGGTGACAACACATTTGATCAAAGGTGGAAAAACTTTCGCCTACTTGGAATGAAAGAACGTTGAGTACCTGGAAAAGGATGGGTATTTAGGCGGGGGCCATGAACTATAACCCCTCATATGACTCGGTTCGGGTGGAGCTCAACAGGGTGGTCTACAGTGGCGGACAAATCAACGGTCTCGCTCAACTCCGGCACCCACTCACTTTCGCGCGGCCGAATCTCTCGATGGCGCTCCTCCAGAAGGCTGTGACGGAGTACCATTATAGTATTTAATGTGCTCTTCAATATGGTAATGTCCCGAAGGCAGGCCATGGTTGCCGAATAAGTACAGTTACAGGATCGGTATCTAGTCTGGCGATCTCTATCAGTTTTCAAAGATGGGCGGAGCTTCTGCGATGTGGCTTCCAGTGGTGTTACCTGTTGTAGCCCTAAAACGCGAGCATTCTGAACAAAGATTAAAATTCCGACAAATGACGTGAAAATGGGCTTGGTCAATGGGACGGGGCTTGGTGCCCCAGTGCATACATGACATCTGTGACTACATTTGTTTCGTAAAGACTAATTGTGAAAGGAACGACGTCGAAAAAAGTCACAAGTGTTGAATCTCGCAACAACTTCAGTAGAAAATGGGCGAATCCGTACCTATCGATGTGGCAATCCTTTTCAGCTAGTATGTTTGGGCGAAACAGTAAAATTGCATAGTCAGGAGCAGAAATTATAAAAACTTCTGGAAATTGATGACCGCACTAAAAAGTGGAAAGGGGGGGGGGTGTTGGAGCTCAGCTTAGCAGAGCAGCGCCAAAGTTTGCGATACAAAGATTTGCGCAGATCAGTCGATGTGCAAGTGAGTGAGCGTTCTTTTGCAGTGAGGTGCACATCGCTGTACTCACCTTGAAACGATGAACTTAGAGCTTTCTTCAAAGTTTGCGGGACAATCCTCCGAGAGGAGTTATGCAGGTTTTTCTCTACTTGTTTTTTTTTCTTCGAAGGCGCTGGCGCCTGTAGCGACGACACACACGACATTGTTCGGGCAAAATCTTCTTCTTCTTCTTCTTCTAGCGTTTGTCCCGCTTGATGGCGGGTCCGCTCTTTTGCTATAACTACGCCATTTTTCCCGATTGAATGCCTGATCGGGGTGAATGCCGGCTAATTTTGAGTCGGTATGCAGTGTGTCGAGCCAGCGCTGTTTGGGACGCCCCTTTGGCCGCTTTCCTGGTACCTCGAGTTCGAGAGCAGTTTTAAGGACGGTGTCAGCCTTCGCGCGAAGTGCGTGCCCATACCATCGGAGGCGCGTTTCCGCAATTTCTCTGCTATGGGGGCTACACCATACTTCTTGCGCATGACATCGTTACACATGCGGTCCGCTCGCGTGACACCCGCCGTCCAGCGTAGCATCTTCATTTCCATCACACTAAGGCGAGCCTCAACTTCTTTGGTCGCGGACCAGCACTCGGCACCATATAACGCGACACGTCGGACGACAGTACGATAGATTTTTGACTTAAGGCGCTCTGGCATTCTCTTGTCGCAAAGGATCCCAGACATGGATCGCCACTTAGACCATGCCGCACTCACTCGTGCGCTCACCCGAGTTCGGACTGCCATCGGACGCAAGTGCTGATCCGAGATACAATGTTTCCGTGCGCTTGAGCACCGTGTCATCGATTTTAATGGAGCCCTGCTCATTTGGGTCGGTGGTCAGATACTCGGTCTTGTTGACGTTCAACCTGAGTCTAAACCTCGCCAGACGCTCGGCTCAAGCTTGCACCTGCTGTTCCCGTGCGCTATTATCTTCACAAGCAAGCATCACATCATCAGCGTAAAGCAGGGTCCAAGGCGCTTTCTTCTGAAGATCTTGTGATATGGCATCCTTGACGGCAACGAAAAGAAGTGGGGAGAGCGCAGAGCCTTGATGTACCCCGACGGTGATGGAGAACTCCGTTGAAACACCCGCTGGTGAGCGAACATGGCCCCCTGGGCATGAGTAAAGGATGCGCACCCACACGATTAGCTCTTCCGGCACGTCATGCCGCCTCAAAGCGTACCATATAACGTTACGTGGCACACGATCGAAGGCCTTTTCCAGGTCTAAGAAGGCTACATGCATATTTCGCTTCTCACGGTGTTTCTCCAGCAATAGGCGAGCGGCATGTATGGCGTCGACGGTGCTACAATCCGCCACGAAGCCACACTGGTTGGTGGAAAGCTGGACGATATCACGAACGCGGGCGTCAACAATTCGCTCGAAGATTTTCATAGTGTGAAGGCGAATTGGACGGTAGTTCTAGCACTCTGCCGGGTTGCCCTTCTTCTTCCAAATCGGGATCGTCACGCTCTGCTGCCAGTCCTTAGGCACCTTCTTCTCTTCGACGATCTGGTTGAAGAGTTTCGTCAACCAACCCGCAGGAAACCAGCGTTATGACTTCCACAAATCAGCTGCGATGTCGTTGGGCCTGTTGCTTTGCCGGCCTTCATCTTCCTCAGAGCAGCTTCGTTTCCTGTACGGTAATCCTCTGAACGAGGCCATATGTTGGTGCGGTACAGGGTATAGCGGGATGGGCGAATTCCACGGTTGAGATGCCCTCGATGTATTCACGCCATCGTTGCAATACCCTTCCTCGGTCCATCAGAAGTTGCCCATTCTCATAACTTATGCCAAAGAACTTCTCAATGTCTTCGGTTTGGCGATGACGAGACTTGGCAAGTCCGTACAGGTACCGCTCACCGTCGCGCGTCTCCAGCTTCTTGCTGATATCATCGAAGTAAGCGGCCTTCGCAGCAGCCGCGGCCGTCTTTGCCACATCTCGCTTCCCGATACTGCCGCCAGTTGTCAGCCGACTTCTGCTCGAGAAACGCGCGATAGAGCCTCTTCTTTTTTCGAACTTTCGCTTTGACATCATCCGTCCAGAGCCACGCGTCCTTGTCAATCCTCCGCCGTCCAGGCTTCGTTGTGCCGAGTTCGGAGCGGTTGTCCTGGATTATAGAATTAAAGGCTTCGTTCCAGGTCTCCTGAACACTTGGTAGTCGAATACGAGAAATCACAGCTGCCTCCCGCTCTTTCAGCCGCCAAAACTTGATTCTTTCAGGACCGCTTCGTTTAGCTACCTGTCTCCGCCTGGGAGCTACGAGTCTGAGCGTGCAGATCAGTGGGCGGTGCTGCGTGGCAACCGCTTCATACGGTACTACCGTAGCGTCTGTCACGAGTCCTTGGTCGCCATGCCTGATGAGTAGGAAGTCTATTTGTGTCTTAGTACTCCCGCTGTAGAACGTGATGAGATGGGAGTCACGTTTACGGAATCTTGTGTTCAGAATGACGAGGTTATGCGACTCTGCATACTCAAGGGCTTGCTCACCATCGGCGTTCCGTGAACCGTAGCCGAATCCGCCATGACAAGCACAGCCGTCTTTTGCAGCGCCCACGTGCCCGTTTAAATCGCCGGCTACAATGATACCGTCTTTTGGTGGCACTTCAGCTGTCCTCTCGTCCAGCAGAGTCCAAAAATCGTCCTTGGACTGCTCAGAGCATCCAGTTTGTGGGGCATATGCGGAGAAGAAGTGGTAATGTCGTTGTTCAATAGCGACAACAATCTTCATCAAACGGTCGTCGAAACGAACTACGCTCATGATCGAATCGCGGAATCGCTGAGTCACGATCACGGCCACACCACTTTTAATTTTCGGCCCGCCACAAAGAACGGCTTTGAAGCCGAGACCTAACTCTTTCGACTTGCAACCAGCCCATCTCGTTTCTTGCACGGCACAGAGGTCGATCTTTCTACGCTCTAGGGCTTCTGCTAACTCGTACGAGCGTCCAGTCAGCGTCCCCACGTTCAGCGTCGCAATACGAGCCTTTGACACACTGCACGTCTTTTGGACTAGCCTGGTTGCCCCCCGATGCCGTCCTTGCGAGGACCCTCGCATATTTTTCACACTCGCCGAGCCTTGCGAGTGCGCGTCGGCTCCGGCGGACGCCGTAGCATTATCTCGAATTTCATAAGGCATAGTTGAACATAATGATGTGACATGGGGTGTTCGTAAGCCGGCCCGTCACGAAGGCCTGTCGCCTGCTTTCGTGTTCGTCCGCGTTTGCTCAGCCCGAAAAGCGAGCAGGTCCCGGTGTCACCACTTGGAGATACGGACGTCACCTTCATTGTTTGGGCAAAATAAATTTCATCGCGTTCAAGAGGTCAAATAACCCCCTGGCGACGGTACTGTAGCAAAATCTGAGGTTCTTACTCAAGTACGAAAAAATAGGCTAGTCATGGCTGAGTGGTAGCCAACAGCGATAATACGACTAGCCTAGTGGTGTTTGAGCTGAAACAACTCGTTATCAATGTCTTTTCGGGAGAACAATACCTGACTCACTTATTCGTGCATCATTTTTCTGATTACGTTCCCGTGACAGCCACCGATGGTAGCCGAGCTCCAGTTTGCTGCTAATATCCATAGAATAGCTTACATTTTCCAAGTTAGATCGAAATCTTAGAGTTGGCTAGAAACCTCCCGAAGGGTAATTAGACCCGCTGAAGACGGTTATTATATTATTCCTTAGCAAAACCGCTGTGACGCGCGTTACGAGGGAGACAAGCACAAGCACTCTTTCAGGCCACAATGGGTCTACAATTCTAAATGAGCGCAGGTTTTCTTACAGGCTAGTGCAGGTGAGCACAGAAGTTAGGAGCTTTGCCGACCATGTTCTTGAAAAACGAAAAAAAAACACGTGAACCGATCCTCACCTATTGCGTGGGGGACCCGCTCGCTGCCTGTTGCGCCCTACTGCCGCGTTCACGATGACTCCACATATATGTAAGGACTCTTCCACATTTTCGCGCGATAGCATGTGAAACAACAACGCGGGAACAAAACCTTCCATAACTACGCTCAGAGAATCGGTCCGCAAATTTCAAAGACAGATTTAAATTCATCTTCAACGCGGACAACGATGCGCACCTCATTGGAAATGGCCGTGTCGACCTGTGGACCTTTCCTGGTCAGCCTATTATCTGTGGATGCCGAGATACATGCTTACACTAGGGCTTCCCTGCATAGGTAAAACATGCACCCTGTAGAAGTGGCCGACACATGCGTGGTTCACCATTTCATCGCTTACAGCTTATGGCACAGTGATTATGATTATAATTATGATTTATTATCGGTTAGTAACACAAACAGAATAAAACTGATTATATAGCTTGGTGACCGATAGAACATGGAAATGGAACAAAAAGTGAAGAGCACTGAATATGGGGGTAGGTGAAAAGTGTGCATAGCAGTGCACGTCCTTTGCCAGTCTTTGGGTTTTAACTGCGGTTTGCTCCCATGAAGGTCCTAAAGGTGCCAGAAGATGCTCACAAGTGAGGCTTTGATTAGGTGGCCCCACAAAACCGTTGAAACCAGCCTTTATAGGTCATTGAATTTAACCAGTTTGGTCCTTCAGACACACAAGTAGTGCTTCAATAGTCTCCATTTACTGGGTATCCCTCAAAAATACTCGTAAAGTAGACAGTGGTTCATATAAACCCTTGGTAGAGAGAGAGCAGACTGTTCATACTCGTGAAATGGCGACTATAGTACTATTGCACCGTTCAGGCTGGCTATGTACTCCAGACAGATATTTGCTAGACTTGCGGAGTACTAAACTCAGGCATACCTTGTGGCTCAGCCTGATAATTTTGCAATAACTGAAAAGACTACCACCAGCTGAAGGAAAGGGGGAAGAAGAGAAAAAAGGAAGGGGTAGAGGTGTTACCTAGGTAAAATATCGTAGTCATGTATGCAAACTCTATTTACCTTTGCAGTAATTGTTTAGTACTATTGTAAACACATTATTTATGCATGCTAATGATCTGTACTATCATTGTTCAACCATTTTAGGAGTTCTGGTACTCACGTCGGCAACAGAAAGGTCAGCAGAGCGAGATGTGTTTCATCGTGAAGCCAGACGACGGTGACAATCTTTTTGGCTTGTTTTATATCAAAATTGATCTTATGTAGAATATCGTAGGAACGACGTCGCAGGGCCCCCCACGCGGTGCGGATTCACGATGCAGGGGTGCATCTGATATGTTTCCGAGGGGAAAGGGTACATATCTGCAGGTACTAATAATGAAGAGAACGGTGGCAACACCATTGAAACATTGCAACCCTTTTCGTGCAATGGAGTGCAGTATTTCTGTGATCGAAGGGGAGTTCACGGAAAAGGGTCGAACACGCTTTAGTCATAGCTCATTCCATAGATAATTTGATCAGCGCCTCTTTGCTTCAGTTGCTATTCACCACAGGTAGAAGGGATGTACTGGAAGCCCTCTTGTTACGAGCGAACTTCTTCTCCTTCCTCAGCGTTTGTCCCGCACGGTGGCAGGGTCCTCTCTCCTGATGTGTTGTCGCCACTTTTCCCGATTGAATGTCTGGCCAGATAATTTTAGATAATTTTGAGCTCTTGTGCAGCTGATCAAGTCGAAGCTGTTTGACGTGCTTTGGGCGCTTTCCGGGCACCTCAAGCTGGACTAGTCTTGCAAGCAGTGTGTCAGCCTTTGCGCCAATCACATGGCCGTACCAGCAAAGACGTACTCCTTGTATTTTGTCCGTTATAGGAGCTGTGCAGGAGCTGTGCCGAACTCCCGCATAGTACATCTTTGCAGATGCGTTCCAGAAATGTAGCGGCTGCCGTTCCCTGCAAGATGTTCACCTCCACCATACATAAACGGGCTTCGGCTCCTTCGGATGCTGAATAGCACTCAGTCAGCACCATATAGGAACTGGTGGGACGACACTTCGACTCCGACTTGGGGCTCTGGTATCTTCTTGCTGCAAAGGATGCTACACTGGTCGCTATTTCGGCTACGCTGCACTCACTCGCGTACACTCCCGCGTTGAGACCTCCATCGGGATAATTGCGGGATATTCCGAGATATTTAAACGTTTTCGTAGTCGTAAGAAGTGCCATAAAAGGATAAAGTCTCCGCCGTTAATCAATCCCTTTGTGGGATGGGCACGCATTCTACTTTCATGCAGAATCGTAGTGGCTTATTGAATGCGATGGTGGCCTATGGGCGGACCGTGGTGTAGTGACAAGTGGCGCGCTTACCACTCGCGCGGCGCCGGGTTAGAATCCGGGTCGTCACCCGCCCAGGCCTACCAAGCCTTCTTTCCTCCGGGGACGGTAAATTGGTACCAGATTTGTCTGGGAGGATAAAACACTGACTTGTACATCGGCTGGCCACCGCAAGTCATTGTTTGGGCCACATCGCATTCAACAAGCTACTACGATTCTGAACGGAAGTAGAATGCGTGCCGCATCCCACGAAGGGATTGATAAACGGCAAGGACTTTATCCTTTTTTTTCAAGAAGTGCCACCGATTTTGATGGGATCCATTTCGCTTGAGTTAATTGCTAAGTACTCAGTCTTTTCGACGTTCGACTTGCGCCCATATTTTGTCAAGCAATCGGCTCAGGCTTGCACCTGTTGCTCGAGCATCTAGTTATCCATATTATTGTATTATTACATATAGTTGAGCATAACATCATCAGCGTTAAGAAGGGTCCAAGGAACCTTTTTCTGGAGATCTCGTGGAGTGGCATCCATTACTACTACGAAAACGAAGGGGAAGAGCACAGAGCCTCGGTGCATTCCGATGGTGATAAGAAACTCCACAAAAGTGCCCGCACGTGTCCTCACTTGGCTCGCTGGATCTGAGTAAAGGAGGCTTATCCATTGCTCCAGGAAGGACCTGCTGTCATAAGGCGTACGGCTTCATGCGGACGCCATCAAGTGCTTTTTCTAAGTCCAGGAAGTCTACATGCGAGCTTTTGCTCGCAGCGGTATGGCGTCGATAGTGCTGCAGCCGCCACGAAGCCGAATCGGTTGCTTGAGAACTGGACGATACCACGGACACAGCCGTTAACAATTAGTATAGAGATTTACATGTGTGCGAAAGAAGGCGCATTGGTCGACACTTCAGGCAGTCTCACACTGCCTTTCTTCTTTCAAATTGGGGCCGTCGTGCTCTTCAACCAGCCCTTGAGCACCTTCTCAAGCGATGTTGTTGGAGTGCTTGGTCGACCACTCTGCAGAAAACCAGCGTTGTGACCTCTACAAATCTGCTGCTAGATTGTCGCGGCTTGTTGCTGCCGGCCTTCATCTGTCTCAGGGCTGCTTCTGTTTCGTGCACTGCCATCCTCTGAACGGGGCCATATGTCGGGTGCCCCACAGGGGGTAGCCGGATGGATGAATTCTGCTGTCAAGATGCCCTCAAAGTATTCACACCCTCTTCGGTTCATCAGAAGATATCCATTCTAGTCATTCTGCCGATAAAAGCTTCTCTATATCTTTGCTTGGTGGTGACAGGAACTGACAAGTGGTGCCGCTCACCGTCGCGCGTCATCGGTTTCTTCCTGACATCATCAAGGTGAGCGGCTTTCACCGCAGTCACAGCTTTGTTTGCAGAACTTCTCGCTTGCTGACAATTCCGTTATTCGCTATTAATTTCTTAGCCGAGTTGCGCTCAAAAAACATGCAACAGAGCATCCTATCCTCGCGAACCTTCGCTCTGACGTCGTCCCTTTACAGCCAGGTATCCTTGTCGATTCTCCGCCGTCCAGACTTCCTTGTGCCGAGTTCGAAGCAGATCAATTGGGTTACCGATCCACTGGTTCCTTTCCACAGGAATTCGAACACGAGAGACACATAGTACGCTCACACAGTACATTGAGCGTGTGTATGACTATCAACCCCCAGCTGTCGAAGCGTAGTGGTTTCCCCGTCCTAACATGCGCAGGAATGTAGATACAGGACCGTGAAACACGCTAATTTCTTCCTACTCCACCTAAAATGCATTTGCTGCGCAGACTCCCGTTTACTCTGACAGCCGTCCGCGCGGCTCGTGTCGCACATGGCTTTCTTGGCTTTTTGCAAAATGCTGTAATTGCGCTTTGGAATACAAGTAAAACGCAATTTCCTGATGCGGATAACATTTTTGATGCTGCAAAATAAGAACCGAAGATGATGACGAAACCCAACTCAAGAGCAACTGTGCTGCTTTTGCAATATCCCCCAGAGGCCGCGCATTCCCACAAGACAATAAAAACGGCCCAAGCACCCCACTCGTTAGTTTAATTTAAGCAAAACGCAATCTCCTGATGCGAATAACATTTGAGGTGTTGCTCATGCTTCGAAGTCCGAATAGAAGGTGATGAAGATGACAAAGGCTAGAAATGAAGAACAACGAATGTGGATGCAAATAAAACAAAAATGAAAAAATTAAGGAAACGCAAATCAATTAAAACCGCGTGTAAATTACTGCGGTGTGGCGCGAATTCGGCTCCAAAACCTAGAAATACTTTAAACTAAAGAGTGGGGCGCTTGGGCCGTTTTTTTTGTCCTGTGGGAATGCGCGGCCTCTGTGGGGTATTGCAGAAGCAGCACAGTCGCTCTTGAGTTCTAGCCCTCGTCATCATCTTCGGTTCTTATTTTGCAGCACCTTAAATGCTATCCGCATCAGGAAATTGCGTTTTACTTGTATTCCAAAACGCAATTACAGGACTTGGCAAAAAGCCAAAAGGGAGCCGCGCGCATCGCGCGGAACGCTGTTAGCATAAACGATGGGCTAAGTAGGAAAAAATTAGCGTGATTCACGGTACTGTATCTCCATTCCTGCGCATTTAGGACGAGAAAACCGCTACGCTTCGGCAGCTGCAGGGCTGATTGTCACACACACCCTCAATGTCTGCGAGCGTACTATGTGTCTTTAAGTCACCAGAGCCTGATTCTCTCGGTCCACGTCGTTCTGTTTACTTCGGTCTGGAAGCTACGAAACTGAGCGTGTAGATGAGCGGGCGGTGCTGCGTGGCTACCGCTTCATACGGCATACCTTAGCGTCGGTAACGATTCCTTGATCCCCATCTCTGATGAGGACAAATTCTATTGTTCTCTTCTTCTGCTCTCACCATAAAAGGTGACTGAATGAGAGTCATGCTCGCAAAACTTTGTGTTCGGTATGTCGAGGTTATGCGTATCCGCACACTCAAGGGTTCGCTCACATTCGGCGTTCGTGGTCAGTATCCTAATCCGCCACGATGAGCATAGCCATTTTTTCGCGGAGCCCACGTGACCCGTTCAAGTCGCCGGCCACAATTACACTGTCTTCTTGTGGTGCCCTAACCGTCTTCTCATCTAGCAGAGCCCAGAACTCGTCCTCAGATAGCTCAGAGCATCCAGTTTACGGGGCATATGCAGCGGAGAAGTAGTATAGTCGTTGCTCTGCAGCGACAACAATCTTCATTCAACTCAAACCGAACTATGCCAGTAATCGAATCTCGGAAGCGCTGGGACACGGTACAGCCACACGACTTGTAGTTCGGATCACCAAAGAGAACGGCTTTGAAGCCGTGACCGATTTTTTTGACCTGTGACCGGCCCATCTCGTCTCCTGCACAGCGCAGATGTCGATCTTTCCGCTGTCTACTGCTTCTGCCAGCTCATACGACAAAAAGCAAGCCTTCAACACGCAGCGTGTTTTTTTTACTACCCTAGTTGCCCCCGAGGCCATCCTTGCATAAGAGACCGTTGCGTATTTCCTCAATGGCCTGGCCTATCGACTCGCGTCAGCTCGCCATAGCATCAACTCTGAACACACATGGCTTCATGATTGTGATGTGACATGGGATATTCGTTGATTGGGCCGTTACGAAAGCCTTTCACCTGTCCTGCATCGGAGCGTTTAGCTCAGCCCGCAGAAGCGAGCAGTTCCCAGTAGCACCACGTGGACGCGGACATCACCACCTGATACAAGCGTACTCCCTGACTAAAGTGACCGAGAACATAAATCTTGTTGTTGTGGAGAAAGAAAATCTAGCTTTCAAATATGTATAAATTTCCGCCTGTTATGCCTCAACAGGGTTGTACCAACTAAATTTCAAAAATCTGCGGTCGTCTTATTTCACCCGTTAGTGTGGTCATTTTCCTCGACCGGCGAATTTCGGTCGTACCGGAGCTACATTAAGGCTATTGCTTTCAGTGGAGAGAGGAATTTCCCCATTTTTCAAATCCATGCAGGTTTCCGCTCCACATTTCGAATGAACGAACTCACGTCAGTTTTCGAGCAGAACCACCATGATTTACACGACTACTTCAATGTATTTAGGGTAGATCATTCCCAGCGATCACGATTGTTGCCTGGTGCTACGCAAAGATCTTCTCGGACCACTCTACATATTTCATAAAAGACAGAAGCTCAGTGAAAGCCGCGCGGAGCACGCAGCGTCTCTCTCTCACAACACGCAACGCGGAAATAAGACCAGCACTCTGACAGCAGATGAGGGAGGGAGGAGGCTTTTACGTACTGTCTCAAGTGGAGAGGGCTCCATCGAACGGATTTTTTCAGCGATGTGATGTTGTCCCTGATGCAGACGCGTACCAACTAACCTGGAAATGCTTATCCATGCTTCTTTTTTGCAGAAAAAATACTGGCATAATCTAGAAGGTATTCTCCAGTTTCTCTCTTGCTGTAACCTCGGCATCGGTGTTTAATTCGTTAATATTGTTGTGCCTCTCGAGGTTTTTAGGTGGAATCTTTAATAACGGCCTAAGGTTACGACAGGGTCGTCTTCTTCAGAGGCCTAAACGTGTTTCGAGTCAAGGATATGAACATTACCCCGCCAAGCACTCAACCAACCCTAGCAGTTCCGATGATGTATTTGGAACTCAACAAGGAAATCCTACGCATTACGAAACGTGCACTCACCAGAACTCCACCGTGAATCCGCCGTCATATGGATAATATTCAGTAGCGAATGAGACTTACTACAGTATCTCCTTATACGCAAGAAGTGAAGGAGGCGCATATAGCGCCGATTACTCACAACTCGCAGTAAGGTATAAACGGCGTAAGTTCATTGGTTATTGACGGGGGCTCATCTCGGTTGTTCATCCTGGGATTTCTGTCGGAAATCCAGAACGCCTCTAGCGCCTTTCTTGCCGAGATTTCCGTCTACTGCGCCAACATCGTGCACTTGATTTCGAAATTGTTGCCATTATACTCCTCAGTTATGTCTGCCCAGCGCTGTCGTGGATCTACTGCGCCTCACACTACTGAGGTGTTCGTTTATTCGCACACCCAGCGGTCTTCCTGTCTCTTCGATATATGTGGATCCACATGTCTGGCATTCTATCTGATAGATCACCCGTGTGCAAGCCCCGATTCTGCCATGTGGACAGATGACGCAATCTCTTAATATGCACTGTAGATCGTAGAGCCTGTTTCGAACCAGCTGCTGTTTGATGTTGCTGTTAGTGTTAACCAATTGAAAATGTCCAACAATCACTGCGATACAACGGAGTATTGTTAGAGCACAATCAGATAGAATGCCAGAGATGTGGATCCACATATATCGGAGAGACAGGAAGACCACTGGGTGTGCGAATAAACGAACACCTCATTGGTATAGGCGCAGTAGATCTACGACAGCGCTGGGCAGGCATAAAAGTGAGGAGCATAATGGCAACAATTCCGAAATCAAGTGCACGATATTGGCGCAGCAGACAGAAATCTCGACAAGAAAGGCGCTAGAGGCGTTCTGGATTTCCGACAGAAATCCCAGGATGCACAACCGAGATATGCGCCCGTCAATAACCAATGAACTTTCGCCGTTTATACCTTACTGCGAGTTGTGAGTAATCGGCGCTATATGCGCCTCCTTCACTTCATGCGTATAAGGAGATACTGTAGTGAGTCTCATTTGCTACTGACTATCCGCATGCGACGGCAGATCCACGCTGGAGTTCCGGTGAGTGCACGTTTTGTAATGCGTAGGATTTCCTTGTTGAGTTCCGAATACATCATCGGAACTGCTAGGGTTGGTTGAGTGCTAGGGGGGTAGTGTTCATATCCTTAACTCAAACATGTTTAGGCTTCTGAAGAAGAAGAAGACCCTGTCGAAACGTTAGGCCGTTATCAAAGATTTCATCTAAAAACATCGAGAGGCACAACAACATTAACGAACTGATCTAAAGGATTACTGAACTAAATTTGTACATCTCACACCGCGGCTGTTCAAGCAGTTTAAGAAATATTCGAGAGCATTTCAATTTCTTCAAGCTTTTTCCCCTTTCAAAATACGGTCAAGTTACACAACTCTCTGTATCGTAACACCGAAAAAGGGTGAGCGGATGACACTGTTGCAACCAGGCCTGATCGCATGGCTCTAGTCACGTGCCGAGTCAGGAATTGTGTTAAGGGCCTACTACACGCCCATAAATTCGCACAACTTCAAGCGAATTCTGTGGGGTGCCGTTTATGGGAAGTTGGTTTTTTATTGAGCTCACTCCCTTATTTTGTATGTGAGGCTTTCAGGATCTCAAGGATCTGGTATATATTTGATAAACGACCCAAATCAGATCAGAGATGTGTCGGAAAAGCAACTTGTTCAGGTAGGTCACTTATTATCTGAAAGCAGAAGCACAAAACGTGCTTTCCTTATATTTCCATCTAAATGATCGTAAACGACGGCACTTACCTTGATCAAATGGGAAGGGCGAATAAATCAGTCTCATTCAAAGTGGTTTCATAGCTTCCTCCCCCATATCTCGCCGGTCAGTTGGGCTAAGTTTGAAGGTATTGCTAGGGATATGTTCGGGAGTTGTGAAAATAGAGATGCGCTTAAAACTACCGGTTAACAGTTTAAATAAACTTCTACCTTTTGTTCCGAATTATGCTTTATGCATGCACTTTAGAGGTCTATGCAGGTGCCATGCATGCAACTGGCAGTTCAACAGTTTTATGCATGAGCTATTAGGTCATCCCATTCAAAAGTGCTGAGACATGCAGAGGGATGGCAGGAAAGCAAGGGGGATAGAGCAGTGGGCTAGTATACCTTTTGAAGGCTAGTACCTTTAGCTGTGTATATGTGAATTTTGGCGAACCTACTCACAAAAGAAGTTCTCGAGTGGTGAAAATCAGCGCCAGATTTTCGCATCAGGCGTCATAAGAGGAAAGTGCGCTGCTCAAATTTGACCTGCGTCGGACCAGTAGTTGTGTGTAATGGTGTTATCGAAATACAAGGTGGAAGGTTTGGTCCAGGAGCGCCAGGAAGGAAAAAAGTAATGAATTTGTTGTCATGGATGGTCCCATAATGTTCATCCTCCAAAAAAAGGGTGGATGAAGTGAAGCGCTGAATGTCTGATAACAGAGCCTGGATCGTTGTAGAGCTTCCCGCGAGACTGACATCCCTGCTGCAAACTGCTCGATTATCCGATAAATGAGGACGGCTCAAGAGGCTGTGCGCTATGTACCTAATTTTCTTGTAGAAGCACGAACGCAGTACCGATTCTATGCCTCTAGCAGTAATGTTCTCAGTATGAGATGTCATTCACGGCTGTGAAAACGCACCCGGCCGTAGATGAAATATGGGTGGTCTTGGACCTCAAGCCAAGACTCACAATCGCCAATTTTGTATGAATGCAGATGAGAAACCGCCCGAGTTCTAACATAAGGAGTTACGTGGGCGCAAGTGGATGATCATCATACCGAAGGATTCGCACACTGTTGCTTTTAGGCAGCTGCAGAGAATAAAATCGTCCCTGTCGATGTATATTGCCTGTTCCTCGGCAATCAGATCGACAAATGGATGATACCACACAACCACAAGAAGGCCACTGTTGCTCGCCATAAAGCCAGACCCCGAGTAACTGTTTGTAGGGCAGCGCTGGGACACAAACGGTACTGAGGCCTGGGTTCAATCGCCCCATTCGCCCAACATAAAGCCGTTCGATTCCAACTGTTCTGGTCAGTCGAGGGTACTCTCCGATGGCAAACGTCACAACGTTTTGTCTTTCGCCGAAATTGGCATCAACAGTAATTTAATCGCACTTGTTGAAAAATCGAAGGTACCAGAGGTCCACGCTTTCGAAGCACTGGGAGTGGGTCACTGGTGAAGGAGGGATCTACTTAGCTCAAATCCAAAATATCACTTTTCTATCTATTCTCTTTGGTTTATTCGAATAAAACCATCGGCACTTTTGAATGGGATGACCTAATATCTCTACGCTGTTTTGACTTCTCGTACCGCTCAGTAGCAGACTTGCCCTCTTGCGACAAATTTTTGGCTTAAAGCCTCTATCATGCCGAGAGAAAATCAATGCATAGTGTTGGTTGGGAAAAACCTCAACACTGCGGCAGTTCCTAGTGAATCTAAAGTGCCACTCCCCTAACATCTGCAAAATCGACGGTTAGCTATGCAATGATCCGCCACCTCACCATAGCTTCATTGAACGTGATCAAAATGATTAGAACGTTAGACTAGTGGGTAGTCCTGTACACGGCGAATCCAATGATTTGCAATTATTCCACATCCCATCAATTTTCTGGTGTCCTTCTTGAGAAAGTTGAAGATGGCGTCTCTGATTAGCTGAGGTGATAACTGCAGACACGGCTATAGTCGTAATCACTCCAGTTTGACAGAGAATTTCAGAATTTCGAACTAAATGTCTTGGAGCCACGATACCTTTTCGCATGACTCCGTAATTACCTCGGTGAAACGTTACTATCTCGGGTTAAGGAACAAAAGAAGGAAGTGTGCATTGCCGTAATGCAGGTGGCGTTCTTTAATCGTGTAGTACGTGACCCTTTGACTGTTCCTACGTTACAGAAAACAGACCTTCTCCCTCGCGTTAGCCCCTCGCAGTCAGAAGGGTCGCTGTCACGTACAGCCCTGTTTGAACATACTTATAGTTGATTACTCTAGGTATTGGTGCCTGGTTTTTCAATGTTGTGTACGTTGATGTTCTACTTGAATGTTCTCTTTATTTTGTTTCCGACACTATCTTTTTGATTTGATGGCATGCATGGTTATGAATCAAACACAGCGCTCTACTCCGATCATACACGACAGACTAATACGTTTTCCGTGAGTCCAAATCCCTTGTTCTGATTTCCAGTACAGCTGGAAGCGAAGTTGAGTGGGGAATTTTTCCCTTCAACGATACTCCTCCCGGATATTGAGTTTTGAAAGAAAACTTACAAACTTTTCACAGCACGCACAAGCAATTCGCATAATTTATCCATGAGCTGTTGGTGATTCAGTGACCATGCTTTTGGGCTAGATTCTTCGGATAACTGTATTTTTGTTTAGTTTGCAAAAGTTATTCCAGCCATTATCACTTTACTGTATTTCACAGAGTTACTGGGTTACGACATTTGCGATAAAAATGTTGTAGGAGTACGTCGCGGACCCATTTCTCATGAAGGACCAGCTTAAATTCGATTTCCGAGTGTATGGTGTGATTAAGAGCATCAATCCACTTTCGATCTACGTTTCAAGAGAAGGCACGTTTTCAAGTTAGTAGTAAATTCATCGACACATTAGAATGAGACTAGGATTGTTCGCGATTTTGGATGATGAGCATTGCATCTACAGTAACATTAAAGCATTCGCTGAGTTCCTTACCACTGGAATGCGACAATATGATACCCATATTTACAAATTCTAAAGCTGTATACACTGAGCACACGCCATCATTGTGACTTCGGAACATTAATGGGGATCGTATTTGACCGCGAAGAAATGGGATAGGTTTGTTAGCACAGGGCTTATTCAGCTGAGAAGAGGAGGTAACAAAAAGTACGGTGGTTGCACATAATGACGTCATGACGTCAAACAGCCGAAATACAATAGATGCTTGGACCTTTCTGAAGTAAACATGCTTGCGCGGGAAAGCCTCACTGAGTTACACCTTTCTCAGTATCTCTACATGTAAGCTGGATTCATGGCGCAATACAGCGGTTTTATAGATCGGCGCCGGATGAACTTTTGCTAGTATCTTAGGCGAAAATATGTGTTCAAGAAGCTTATTCACTTCTTCACGAACTAGAAATGGTAATGCGCCGAAGGAGTTGGTTTACAGTATCACCCGAAACTGTTCACAACTATTACACATCAGTGTATTTTTAACCAGTGAGCATTTAAATAAAGGCGCTTTCTAGGGCCAAAGTCTTTTAGATACCGCCACTATTAACAGTTCCACAAAAGGTCACATAGGAAGAAGGTTAAGGCTGTCTAAAGCACGAAAACTTGTAGGTGACACAAAATTTCAACAACGGCACCGTCTCAAGAAGAAGATTTTTAGAGTACTTTGATCACAGTCAATCAGTACCGAACCTACGGTTTTGATCTTTCAGGGAGGGAAGATCAGCTTCACAACCTTGCTTTTCTCGTCCTGAAAGGTCTTCCCTATGAATTTGAGGATATCAAAAGGGTACTTCTACAATTTCTCAATCACTACCGAGGAATATCATGCTCCAGTGCAGGGGCAGAAAGGGTTTAGTACTTCTTGTGCCACTCTAAAAAAGTCACTCATCCGATCCAATATCTTCTCATTTTTTTGAGGGGGGGAGGGGGGGGAGGGGGTTCGTACTTAGCAGAAATTTCCCAATTAGTGTAATATCGACAAACTAATCTATGAGCGTGTTAGGGGCTGTCCTGACTTTATTAAAAGTGGTGAAATCAAATAAAAAGCGAATCCGCTGCTTGACCCAGACGACGATGTTCGTTGGTATCTCACTTTTCCAGGTTTTGCTCATCGTTTGCATTTTGATCCACTTTATGTGTTATATGTTTTTTTCTAAATGTTTTCCCAACCAGGATTAAGAGCATGGTCGACAGCTTAGTTCAACTGAATTCACAAACTTCGAAGCTTCTCGAAATCTAGTAGGAAGTCGGCGGAACCGAATATTGTATAGGAGAGCTATCACAAGAATGCTGAGTTGTGGAGTATAGGAGAGCGATTCTTCCTCAATATGGTCCTGAACATAGGTGTTTGGCCGATTTTGACTTAAAAGTCACTTTCCTTCGTAGGTGTTTTCCGATTTTAATATAAAAGTCAGTTTCCTTCGACCTTCATTCTAGTTCATGCAATAGCTGAATGAGTAAGAGAGAAGGTAAGGCAAAGTAACAAAGTGCACTTTCTGTAGGACCATATAATCTGAAACGGACTACTTCATAATCAGCACACCAATTGGTTTTATACTTCGCAATAGTTCCACATGAAAGGGGGAATTGACCAATCTCTTAAATTTTTCGCGAGAGCTACACGGTCAGTGTCAAGCATCACGTTCAGGAAAACTGGCCTACCCGCAGGCCATTACAGCATAATTGCGCGCCATTTCACTGGTTATTGCCATGCTTTTCAAAAATGTAACTCCCTTCGGAAACAGCATTTTGCCAAGCGACTCGTGCACGCGAGTTTTCAACCTCTCAGGGACCATAACTTCGGAAGCACAGATCCATGAGAAATCAAAAACATGTGATTCAAAGAGAAAGATGTTCCCTTTCTCCTAATTACAAAACGGTTAATGAAAGTTCCTTACTGAGAAAAATCTGCCGCTGGAGATTTCTCCCATTTAACGATGAAAGTTGCTCGGACAAGCGAGTTTTCAACCTACCAAGAGCTATAACTTTGGGAACACGTAAGAGGGGAAAACAAAACCCAATAAAGGGACGAGGAAGGTTTTTTTACGATCCTTGTGGAATCACCTATGAAAGTTCATTCATAGAAAAAAAAACAGGCAGTCAAGAATCTACCGACGGAGAGGGAACTATTGTCTGCGTTCAAGTTGTCTCCCTTTTGAAACAGACCCTGCGCTCAAGCGGTTCGTGATCATCCTTCTTCGTGCATCTAGTCCATCCCGCAACTCAGAGACTATCCCACTTTGCGACTCCACAGCGAGTGAGGAGGATGCTACAGCTGCGAAAGTTCCAGCTCCAACACCCGCTCAGTTGGGCTGCCCACCCAACGAGCGTCCTTCTACACCTAGCGCAGGGGTGCTTGGTTGTTGTTTGTTGACGCGGTGACCATGAATCTGAATCGTATATCCACTTTTGCAAACCGAGCTCGTAGTCATGAGTAATTGTGCTCTCCTTCCTTATATTTTCTTCAGAAGGAGCACATATACTCAACAGCAGTCCAGCTCGCAAGGTGAGACGTTTTTAAATCACCAGTGATACAGTTGGTATGTGAAAAGCTCGACGTGCATTGCTTACCGTAATCCTAACTTCGTGAGCAGAATTTTCGGAAGTTATTAGGTTGGAAAAACAGTCCTGCGACAGCTTTGATTAGATTGTTCTGAAGAAAATTTTTAAAAACGTTTTGAATGTTTTCGCCTCTGATTAAGGGGGAGCGTTCTCTGAGATTTTTGTATTATGAGCTTGCGTAAGCTTCCGAAGCCTCAAGGTTCCCCAAAGGCCGAGTTAGTTTTCGACCTATCCCATATTATAAGTTTGTATAGGGCTACTTCGCCATATTAGATGGAGCTACACCTGCATTATCTTGGAGGATGTCGCTTACCACGGCAGACGGTCCCGTCTGCATCAGCGCTTGCGAGCTGGAGTTATTCAATTCGAAAGTAGGCAACTTCAAGTCGGCCACCAGCACAGAATGACGGCCTTTTACTCAACCCCTCGGAGAAGCAGCCGAGCACAATCACCAGTAAGTTGGCAACCTGTCTAAGTTGCACCTAAGTGACAAATGCCATGCTTCGCCGCAATCTCACTTTCAGAAAAAATCTTTGGTGAAGGACTCATGAGTTAGACCAGTTCGGCGAAGTGCACTGGTTTCCTTTGTTTGTGCACTTTACAAGCACTTTTGTAAGGCACTGTGGTAGGTAGCGAGAGCTGGAGTCCTTGCGTAGACTATGCACAGATCCCTTACAGAATCTCTCAAGGAAAAAAGTAGATTGCTTCCCAGAAGTAGATGTTCATGGAAGAAAGACTTCACTACGTTATCGGTAGGACTCCAGAGCGCTGGACAATGGCACAGCAGCAACGACCGCAGTCTGCTCTAATCATCAAAACATGGATGTCACGCTTGAATTCATTCAGAAACACCATTTTCTCTCTACTACTCGGCAATGCGAAGACCGCATGTGGGGATCACGCTACCCCAAAAGACCATGGATCTCAATCAGAGAATCCGACCGTACCCGGCTTGTTTACAAAAATTAGCAGCCTCTAACTACCACCTCCTTCGATTACTACCGCATTCTTTAGAGAGCCAAAATTCCAAAAATCTAGGTTCTCTCAAAAATGAGGTCTACCTCTTTTTTGCCGTAGTTGCCGTAGTTCTATAATAGTGGGAATGAGAAACTGTGTCAAAGGTGGGCATTAGTCCTAGTCATTAATGATGACTGCCCTGTAAATTGGAGATGTATCCTATTGAAGAAAATTTGATGACAAATTTTGGTCAGAGTGTCGCGGGACTTCCTTTCCAACCTACTACTTTCTATTGCGAGTTTTGGTGGTGAAGTCTCTCCACGTAGTGCCATTGGGAACTGCACGCTCTTGCGAGCAGGGATGATCACGGACATTTAAAGGCAGATGAGAGGCCTCCGTGATGGGCCGGCCTACGACACCCATGTCACATCAGTTATGTTTAAGATGCCGTACTTGTTCCAATAATGCTACGACGTTCGCGGGAGCCGACGCGCGCTCGCGAGGCCCAGCGAGCTTGGAAAGTACGCGAGGGTGGTCTCCGATGCTAGGATGGCATCAGGGGCAGCTAAGCTAGTTTGAAAGGCCCATAGCGTGGCGCGGAAAGTCCGTATCGCAACGTTAAACGTGGGGACCTCGACGGGACGCTCATGTGAGCTGGCAGAAGTGGTGGGGCGAAGACGAATTGATCTCTGTGTGGTGCAGGAGACAAGATGGTCTAGCTGTAAATTAAGAGGCATAAATCGCGGCTTCAAAGCCTTCCTTTGTAGCGTGCCAAAGACCGCCAATGGCGTGGCCATACTTGTTTCTAGACATTTTCGTGACTCGATGGCTAGCATGGCACGTTTCGGCGACCGTTTGATGTAGATTGCTCTTGTTATCAAGCAGAGACTGTACCACTTTTCTGTGTATGCCCCACAAACAGGATGCACCGAGCTATGCCATCGTGAAGTTCCGTAAACGTGACTCCCACCTAATGTTCTACATTGGAAGCGTCAGAACACAGATAGACTTTATGCTCGTCAGGTATCGCGATCTAGGGCTTGCCATGCACGCGAAGGTCGTGCCGTATGAGACAGTCGCCACCCAAAATCGCCTGCTGAATCGTACGCTGAAGGCCACACCGCCGAGGTCGAAACAGATCGAGCGATGTGTTCTCGAGAGAATTGAACGGTGGCATATGAAGGAAAAGGGGGCAGCTGTGATCTTTCGTTCTCGGCTTGCATCCGTCACAACTGTTGACGAAACCTAGAAAAATGCTACCAAAGCGATAGTTCGGGCGGCTCGCTCCGAACTCGGCACAAAAACCTGAAAGATGCAGAATCGAAAAGCAGGCATGGTTGTGGACAGATGATGTCAGGCAAGGTTCACGAGACGAAGAGGCGCCATCGCTTGTAACTGGGAGACAAGTGAGCTGACAACTGGCGAAAATGCCAGGAAGCCAGTTGTACAGTGGCTGCTGCAAAAGCCGCTCACTTCGAAAACGTCAGGAAAAGGATGGAAGTGCGCGACGGCGCACATTTATCAGACTGCCAAGGCTCGCCACCGAGGAAGTTAAGAGGTTCTTCGGATCAACGACGAGAACGGCCCTCTTCTGACGGATCGAAAGAAGGTGCTGAGGCAATGGTGTGACTGCGTTGAGAAATTCTGTACGGTAGAATATTGCAGGTCGAAACCTCTCATCGAAACACGCACCCAATCACCATTTCTAGTCGAGTGAGAAAGTACGAGCTAGGAGATTCTTGAACTAACAAGGGAATGGTTTGAAATTCTTATGGAGACTTGGATGGGAGACCTAGGTACATCGATAGAGCCCGAATGCTGATTCGAATATGCAGATCAAAAGTGCTACGGGACCTCCCAGACGAGATCTGGGCGGTCAATGTTTGCGATGTGCCGGTTTTGGCTCGTAACGCCGTGAATCGATGCCTCGGCAGTGCCACCTGTGCTCGTGGTAATGTCTCGCTTTCAAGTCAAAAGGCATGCGGGTTTTGCATTCGGTTGGCGCGAAAACTTTTGTCTTCGCTCCCTATACACGCTTCAACTCCAATTTCCAAAATTCTTCGAATTTACGGCACAGCAGGGCAAGTAGATCAAGTACGGCACTTTTAACTGCTTATTTCGTAATCAGCATTCGAGGTTCTATCGATGTACTAGGTCTCCATTCAAAGTTCCATGGGAAGTTCAAACCATTCCTTGTAATCGTTAGAGCATCGTGATGGGTGAAATGGTAGTGCAGATCGACCCCCCCCCCTCGAGAAATGGTGTCTTCAACGAAATTATGAAATTTTGCAGCAGCACCAAATCATTCGTTGGGGTGTCTCTCCCTTACTTCATCTGACTTCCCGCTGTCGCCCTCCGACAGATATCACCCGTCACTCGGTTGTTCAGGGATGCGTTTTGAAATTTTTTCCTCGGCACGTGCACTTCTGCCCACGCCCCGCCCATTATGAGCAGAGCCTCTGTTACCTTGAATGTGCTCTGTAAAATGTTGGCCTATGTCACATCCATCCCAAGCTTGATCCGTTCCCTAAAATTGATTTTCCACATAGTCCCAATATTCTGGCGGTCACGCAACCCTACAAACACACACACACACATACACACACACACACACTTACACACACACACACACAAAACTTCATCATTATCTTTACATGAGCGAACTCATGTGGCTACATCAGCCTACAAACAATGAAACAGAACATCCGAGAAAGTCCCGCACGGAACCTTTGCCTTATATATACAGAAGATAGAGAAGAGCACTCGGCTCCATAGGTTCATTGGAGTGGGCACTCGAACTTCGAGTTTCTCAGGATTTGAAAGTGCTCTTCATATAGAGTTCGACGCGCTGAGTCTAGCAGTGTGAAACCCCCAGTGAATCCGTCACTCCATGCAGAGCGCAGAGGTCAACGCTACCTAAGCCTACCTCAGTCCTCGTAATGAGTGATAGCACGCAAATGAGATAATTGACTTTGTTAAGATGACATTTTTATAGGTCGTATGGAATTTTTCTTATCGAGTGCAACCCTGTAGTTTTCAAGAAGCGTACATATGCGAAATATGAAATTAAATGGCCGTAACGAGCGGAAGTTTGGTCATAAACTAATCCAATACGATTATATGGAACCGCAGAAAGTGCTCTTTAACACTTCACCTTGCTTTCCCGCTTACTCAACCCGCTAAGAGTATGCATCAGGTAGCAATTGAAGGAATATGGCTATTATATTAGAATGGACAGCTCATCTACGTTAAGGGCCATATTATGGATGAACCGATTGCCTATCTTCCCATCTCTTCCCATCACTGCCCATCTTACTAGATTCTGGGAAATATACCCCGGCGTCACCCTACACTTCGTGTAAGTTCTAAATAAATACCCTGGAGACTGTCAAGCATGGCGAGAAGTACTAGCGTCTCCTGTACGCCATCTCTCCATCTTCCTCAGAATCTTGACCCGTCATTTTGACAGGTTTGACTGGAGTTTACAATGTGTTTGATAGGCGATAACAAGGCCTACAAGGTATTGGTAAGGTTGCTCGATAATCAACTGTATGCAGTTCACAGGATTCGGTATGCTGACAAGCGCCCAAGACTATCAGCGCCTCGAACTGTGATGGTTATTCGTGCCCCTTAACTTGGATGTGAGTCATCGATTGATCCGGAAACATGCAATGAACTGAAAACATGGAACTGTGGAGTATTGACTATCACCATCGTTCCTGAGGAAAAACTTTCATTCTTAACAGTTTTCGGATAAAAAGTGGTGACCAGATGACACTTCAGCATTTGGCCAACTTACAGCGTAAAACAAGCTGCGACCGCTTTATGCTTTTTCTCCAAATTGGGAGGAAGTTGAAGTCATCGCTGATGTGTTGGTAATTTGCATCACACGGTGGGATTAACCCTACTCGAGAGATGCCAAATGGATTTCTCCGGAGTGGTGTTCATCACCACTATTTTAGCGAAGCTTACTTCATGCTTACATGCCTCATTTTCTCGAGTATTGCGTCATTGCCCACAAGCGAACTGCTTATGAAATTTACGTGAAGGCTTTATATTTTGAAAGATTCAAAGAAAAAAATCGTGTTAACTTCTCTAAACGCATAAGACTTTGGAACAGAACCCCATCACTGACAGCTCGATGAAGGTGCATATGCAATGACTTGTATGAGCAGAGCATATGAAACCTCGCTCTTTTTTCTTGCCCTTACCAAAAAACTGCATAGTGCAAGCTTCACAGCATTACTAAAAGCATCTGACAGAGAATCAGAAGTCCATCCAAATCAAGGTTGATGTGTTGTTTTTTGAATCTCTCTTCTTGTTTCCTGCAATCGTTATTATCGAAACCATAGTGGTATAACATCCAGTCGCGCTTTAATAACCACTACGGCATGCATCATTGCAGGTATGGTTCGATTTTGCACCGAAAAGTACCGGAAGCCGACGCCGTCTAATTTTGACAATTTGTACGCTCACCTTACTAATTACTCGCTAAACAAAGCCAACTTTTCCTACATTCACAGTCTTTCATTAATGGATCAGGCCAGTGGTAAGAACATCTATAATTGTGAATTGAGGCCATTTTATGTTATGAGTTAGCAGATGTTTGTGTCTAACTCAAAGTTTCGCCTCAGGGAGCAAGTCGTCTTTTATCCACAGTTTTTTGGACCAAATGGCTAAATGTGGTCTTACGAACAAAGAAATTATGGCATGAAATTAAAATCATCATCATCAAAACGGTGCTCGCCATGTTACCCGAGCTAATGATCAACTATGAATACGAGTTCAATGGAATTGTTGGACCCCAATGTTTCCAGGTTTTCTTTTTGTTTTCTTTTGTAATCACAACTCGATTCCTGCTATTCTTTATATACAGTGGCGCTCAAATGTATTCGGCTATACGTTTTTTCGCCCATAAATTTTTTCTCACCTAACCGACTCCTTTCGAAATTTAGCAGGCTATAACTAATACTGCTATCAGTAAGCAACCGTAGCTGCCTTCGAAGATAGTGCACGGTCTACAACTTTTTTTTGCGTGTTGATTAACTTCAACTTCTCCAAGGCTGTCATACTGCTCACATTTTTCAAGTTTTGAGGAGCTCCACAGCATTATATTGTGCCAGAACAGAATTTCGCTCTTTGCAGCGACATGGAAGACGATTGTAACCTCGCACACCGGGGAAGAGATTCCATGAAGATGAAAAATGTCGACATAAAGGCGCGTATTGTCCCCAGCCTTCTGAGGGTTTCCAAACGCACATTGCCGACGTGTCACAACAATAAAACTCCAGTCAATGTTTGGAAGACCGTGGAGCATATTTGTTGATGCCGCGGTTGATGCGTTTATCCGTCTATTTGCCAAGATAAACGCATCAACCACCGCTTGCAGGCTGATCCCGAGTCTACTTGCGTCGACCTCGGAGCCAAGTTCAATGGCATTAATGATGCGAAAATTAGCATATGGATTGCCGGGAGAACTCTGAGAGTGCCGGGGTAAATAGTAGGCGTTCGATCAAGAACACGCTGTTCAGTTCAAATAGAAGGGTCAATGCAGAGCTCCCACTTTCACGAAAATTGAGCTATGAGTACAGCGCCCAACCCACTAACGGAAATACTTCCCATATATAATGTTGTCGAATATGTTAGCCGTTTTAGTGGCGATCTGAAACTCCTGCATTGATGAACAGGAAGTTGTCCTACCGCTAGATCTTCAGTTTAGGTGGTGTTGAGCAACCTCTGGTTTGACCCTTTGGATTTTTAAACTCAAGACGTGTTCTTGATGGCACACTCCCCATTTAACCTCAGCACTCTCAGCGTTCTTCCAATAATCCATCTACTGATATTTGTCTCGTTAACGCTATTGACACTGGCTGCGAATTAACGCCGTTAGACTCTGGATTAGCCTACAAGCGATGGTTGAAGCGTTTATCCTGGATGCTAAATGTGCTCCAACGGACCTCCAAACATTTTCTGCAGTCCAGATGTTGTGAACACTATGGCACTGAGCTGTCAAAACTTTCAGAATATTTGGAAAATTTGTGTCTTTAAGAGCTGAAATGAAATTTGCGCAACTTCTTCTGCTGCCGAGATTCCAGTCGTTTTCCAAATCACTGCAACGAGCAGAATTTCGTTTTGCCACCCCCAAAGAATAGTTAAACTCGTGAAAATTCGACAAATGTGAACAATATGGAAGCCTGGTGGACACTGAAAGTCGTGCAAAAAAAATTGTAAATGGTGCACCATATTCGAAGCAACTCATGCTACTCACTGGTAATAATGGAAGGTATTACGTACTGGATTTTGGAAGGAATCGGTTGGATGGAGAAAAAAATTGAAACTTGAAAGGAATCGGTTGAACGTGAAAAAAGAAGTGGGCCAAAGAACGTTCGGCTGAATACTTTTGAGCGCTACTGTATTTTCACTTTTGAATGATAATAGCATTACCACGCACCCTTGTGAGTTCTTCTCATTTACTTGCACAGCATACCAAGACGTGGTCGACTCGACCACAACTAGTCGAACCTGAATTAATTTCGAGTATAGAGCAGCGTGATAGAAATTTGAGAAACTTGGAAAACTTGAGTTACTATTGTTATACTGTAGAAATTTAGCAACTTAGAAAACTTTTATGTAGGGTCGTACAACTTGTAAGATGGGTCAAAATACACTGCTCTATGAAAACAAGTGCAACACACAGGTCTCATGGTACTTCCTATGTAAGGATTCTTAAGCACATATGTATGCCTGTATAGTGGAATGAAAGGATAAATTCTTCCAACCCTTTTTTAGATGCCTCACACGCAGGGTACAGCATTGTTATTGAAATGGTGGGGTCAATACGACCCTCTCACCTAAAAGTAAGTCTCGGTACACCCCCTCCCCTCCCCAACACCTACCTACCAACTTCCCACATTTTTCACTTTTTTAGCCAAAGATTTTCCGTCGAGCGGCGGAAGGGGTACACACCCAGTGTGAAACGAGGGAATCTCTCAATTCTCTCTAACCTCCTATCAACTTCCTCCTTCTTCAAAATTTCATAATTATTTCCCTATTTTCCCCCAGTTGTCGAGTGGGGGAGGGTTGCATAGGACACATTAAACAGGAAAAAGTCAACAAGCGGGAAAAATTTGCTCCTAACGCGGCAAACTCCACTCAGAGCCACATACGACCCTCCCCCTTTCCCAACGACGATTGAATACGACCCCCTCTCCCCAGCGAAAAAGTACGATTCCCATGTATTTCACACAATGGTGCTGTACCCTGCTCACGCTTTCTACTTCCATTCAAGGTAGTAGTGGCTCGTTGAATTTCTGAACTATATAATGTCTTGCGGGGTTCAGGCGATGTGCAATTCAGTTTTCTTATCCTCCCGAACGAATCTTCTGGTACCAGTCTCATCCCCAGAGAAAGGAAGAATTGGTTAGCTTTCATCTGTGCCGGTACAGTATTTCACTCTCAAACCGCTCTCGTGGTAGGCGTGTTGCTTGTTCTACACCATGTCTTCACAAATGAAGTGAGGAGCCATGTTACATTGAACTTCTGACCACATTCAAACTAAGCTTTCACAAAACCCTACTACAACGTTCACTCTTTGTTTGAAACCTAATTCATGAACAGAATGCATACTCGCACACTAACACACTCCGGAACTGAATTTGCACATTTGCATAAATATATCAAATCATATTCAGATCAGAATACAAGAATCGGAATACAGTTCACGTACCCCGGACTATTTCTATCCACAGCTGTTATTGTTCAATAACTGCTGTATAACGCCGCAGTGTGCGATCGAAAGCTATCACAAGAGTGCTGATTTATGGGCAAAGGTCAGAAAAGAACGAGATCCAAACCATCTCCCGCTTTCCGCAGTTGCGTCACCACATAGCCACCGGGCCCTCTTACCCTCCCAGCCCAATGGCTTTCGTGCCATTGCCTTCGTGCACTACACGTTCAACGTGATGATCCGTTTAGCCGATATTGGCAATGGACCGCAAGATTGAAGGCATTTACAAGTTTTCAAGCTGTTATTATTTGATAACTGCTGTATAACGCCGCAGTGCGCGATCCGAAATATATCACACGAGTGCTGAGTTATGGGCAAAAGTCAGACCACGGACGGGATTTGAACCCGCGTCTTCCGCTTTCCGTGCTATTGGGTTACCTTTTACGCTACCAAGGCGAAGATGCAGGTTCGGATCCCGTCCGTGGTCTGACTTTTGCACGTAATTCAGCACTCTTGTGATATCTATCCACATCAACAAGCCGTGCGTGTCCAATAGCTTCGACGGCCAGCGTGGGAGGTACCACGTTAAAGCCTAGCAAGCTACTCGTGGTCAATTTATATGCCGAAAACAATAATGACTATGGGGCATCCCATAGTGGTGCTGATCAGCGTCTCTGTGCTGCACTTCCTTTTCACCACATGAGGAAAAAGTCCACGGGACAGTTTCTAGGTGAGAGCTTTATAAGAGGGATATCCTCAAACTGCAGTTGAAGATGACTTTTGAAGAAAAATCCGCAGCGGGCGAATCGTCGCTATTAGCTGCAGCGAATTTGTTGAGCTCATGAAGAAAGTAGAAGCCTTCTCAATGTCAGAGCCATGTAGATTTTCACTCTATCATATGTGTGAACGAAATGGCTTTTGAAAGTTGAAAAACTTGCCTTTGCAAAAAATTCCACATTATTTTACCTAATATCCTCCAAGGGCGGATTTCTTCTACATTTAGGCTACAGCGAGCATGTTGCATTGCTCAGAAAGAGCAAACCATGCAGTTTTCAAAGCCATGTACGTCTACGTTCTTCGGGTCTGAACGAAATTTTATCCACTAGAAGATAAAAAACACGTCCACTATAATTTGTCCGCATATTTTCTAGTAAGAAGCCGTCATGCAAATTTGGTGAAAGCTGTAGCGCATTTCTTTTTTTTTCATTTTCAAAAATGCTATTGGAGTGCGAAGGGTTTATAGCACCCCAATCTCAATACGCGACGCAACCACAGTACCCTTGATGCCTCGGCTCCGTGCATCTTTCTGGTGGCGTCAATCTGAGAGCGATTCAAGGTTTCACTTTGTGCATTATACTATCTACAAACTGATCTCTTGAAATTTTAGTGCTTCGGCTTGTTTGGTTCGGTAATTGTTCCAAGATACACAGATAGTTATTAGCTGAAGTTATCAACACACAACATGTGCAGCGTCATCCTGATGAACAGAGCATTTAGCGCCACACTTCACGCACACCACAGTCACTAAGGAGAGGGGGTAGGACGTACGGACACCTCTTTTTAGGAAATCCTCGAATTTCCTAAATTAAATTTCGATTTTCCGCCGCCTCTTCCTTGACAATGGCTGGGACCGCTCGGAACAGGCTGCATGAATCCCGCTCCCACTGTCAACGGATAAATGAGCTGTCAAGGCCAAGGTGACGGTCTGCACTTTCAACGCGCGGACGCGTGTGAAGGCCTACATTGATGATCTGATGCAAGCCAAGGAGATAGACTATGACGTCATCAAACTGACCGAGGCTATAAGACAAAGCCACAGCTACGGAAACGAAGGACTTTCTGAAATTTTTCAAACATGCGACGGCAGAGGGGTTGGCGCTGTTAGTGTCCTCGTCAGCACGCACTTGGGCCAGAACGTTGACTTCTACGAAAAGCTCACGACACTAATCAGCAGTAATATTACTAAGACTTTCTACCACAGGTCCAGTTCACATATTTCGTCGCAGAGCATTTTGCTATCGTATGAGAGACAGAAATTGTTGAACTCACATTACCTCGTTCTTGCAGTGCTGTATACGACTCAGTTTTCTA